ATTCAAAACTGACATTTGATTTTGAAGAATTTCCTTCTTAGAAAGGAAGCTATGCTCAAAAATGCAAAGCTTATCATAGAAGCATCCTCAGGTAGTGTAGATTCAAATTTGTTCAAATTTACGGTGGGTAGGATGGGGCCACAATGAGCAATCCGAGTTTTATATAGGAATACATATGGAAAAAATCTTTAAAATTCTTGTTTAAGAACAGCAAAGCCATGATTAGTAATATTGATATAGAAGCATACTGAGGTAATGTAAATTTAAGCCCCCCCCCCTTAAAACTTTTCAATACTGAACTGATTCCTGCCTCTTCCTAGCCAGTGTGCTCAGGTGAGTGATGTGGATAATGGGCTTTTGTTGCAACCACTATTGAAATATTATTTCAATAGTAGTTGAGAGTGCATTTCAAAACAGGTTGTAACCACTATTGAAATAACGTTCACTATTGAAATAATTATTTCAATGGTGGTTGAAAGTGCATTTCAAAACCGAACACAGGTTGCAACCACTTATGAAATAACATTCACTAATGAAACAATGATTTCAATAGAGGTTTGGAAGGCATTTCAAAACTTATACCAAGTTGCAACCACTATTGAAATAATGTTCACTATAGAAAAAAAGATTTCAATAATGATTGAAATAATGATTTCATAAGTTGCTGACAATGATTTCAATACCAAAACCACATTGCAAGCCTTATTGAAATAATCCTACTATTGAAACAAAATAAATAAGGATGAATTGTTCCTTACGTTTTCCAACATACTAAATTGATTTACTGAGTTTAAAATATGATGTGTAAATTTATGTTCTCCTTTCTTTTCTAGAAATTACCATTAATACACGGACATCTTTGATTTAATTGAATACCTTAAATTCAAACAAAATATGCAAATGTTATATGCAAGCTTCCGCTGAATCTGGCCGACTCGGTGAAAAACCAAAATGACAATCAATCAATGTATGCAAGTTTTAAGTAATTTTGTTATATAAGGTTCATCTTTGTCATTAATTTGGAAAGGAAAACATGAATACAGATAGTTGTAGAAATTAGAATATCTACATTAAAAAGAACAAAGAAGACTGATATCTGTGTACAAAATTCCAATGAAAAATTGTTATTTTTAATAAAAAGAATAAAGAATAGAACTAAATTCTCGCTTATATTCATCGGCTTGCCTACACTACAAATATGAATAATCCAACGTCTACTTGTTAAGACACTAAAAATCAAAACTGAACAAAACGAAAGTTAGTATAAGTATTATTACAATAGTGGGTGTTATTTCAATAGTAGTCACACATATAAAACCGCTATTGAAAAAAATATTTCATTAGTGATCGTTATTTCAATAGTGGTTGCATTAATATTGCCGCTATTGAAATAATATCTACTATTGAAATATTTTTTTTAATAGTGGTTGCAACAATGCACTCACTATTTCAATAGTGGATATTATTTCAATAGCAGCTTTATACGTGTAAGTACTAACCACTATTGAAATAACAACATCTAATGTTATAACACTTATGCTTAGTTTTCCCAAATAGTTGATTTTAATGTATTGACGAGTAGAAACGTTGGATTTACTATCCATATTAGTAGCGTTGGCAAGTCCATGAATATAAGCGAGCATTTACTTCCATTCTACATGTATATCCGTTCGATTAAAAATAACCATATTTTCATCAGAAAGTTTGTACACATATTACTGTAAAAGTGGTTATTTACACTGGTTGTTAAGTACGCGTTTGTGACGGTCAAACATTACGCGTGGGTGTAATATACGCGGTCGCACGAGTTACTGAGAAAAATTTACGCGGCCATCGTTTACTAACATCGAGTTGTTCCCCTTTAAAATGGTCAAGTAGTTAACACGCATGAATAAGAAAAAAAATAATTAGATATAATTACATGTACAAACAAACTAAACAAAAAGAATTTATACTGTTGGATAACTAAATATAACGGCGATCTGCACAGTCAAAAGTGATGAAGTGTGAACAACTGGTATACGTTTTATTGTAATTATTTACGCAAGCTCAAACTTCAAAGTGGGATTTACTTACCTGTATCTGCGCGGCGAGTGTTGGCAATTAATTCAATAGGTATGTTTTTAGTGACTGTGAGTTTGGGTAACATTTTGGACTAATTATTTGAAATTAAGAGGGACAAACACGTATATACAAAGGAAATGAAAATGAGTATCGATGTTTTTAAGCTTTAATTGCGTGACGTTGCTTTAAAATATGAAGATGCATTTTTCATTGTACAATTAAAAAAAAAGAACAGTTACTTTTTCATCACTGTTTGTGATGTATTTATCTACTCACGTGCGTTCAATACCACGATTAATATATGACTGGTTCGACCAGTCTAACAGTATAAGTCGTGGTATAGAATGATTCCAGAAGTTTGAAATTTTGTGACCATACGCGCGGGGGTATTTTACGCGGTTCTAAGCTTACCGCGTAAGTAGTGTAAATTTCCCCCACGCGTAAATAACCACTTTTACAGTAGATATCACATAGATGTCTTCTTTCTTCTTTTAAATGTAGATATTCGTGTATTAATAGTATTTCTAGACAGAAATTAAAATATAAATTACATATCATATTTTTAACTCAATGAATTAATTTATTATGTTGGAAAACATGATGAAGAATTTATCCTTATATTATTTTTCCAATAGTGGGGTTATTTCAATGAGATTTGCAATATGGTTATGATATTGAAATTATTGTCAGCAACTATTGAAATAATTATTTCAATCACTATTGAAATCATTACTTTAATCACTATTGAAATCTTTATTTCAATAGTGAACATTATTTCAATAGTGATTGCAACTTGGTTTAGGTTTTGAAATGCATTCCTAAGCTCTATTGAAATCATTGTTTCAATAGTGAATGTTATTTCATTAGTGGTTGCAACCTGTGTTTGGTTTTTAAATGCACTTTCAACCACTATTGAAATAATTATTTCAATAGTGAACGTTATTTCAATAGTGGTTACAACCTGTGTTTGGTTTTGAAATGCACTCTCAACCACTATTGAAATTATTTTTTCAATAGAGAACGTTATTTCAATAGTGGTTGCAACAGGCCTCTTGTAAATCATTCTGACAAAGTGTCAAAGTCTTCTTTTTCATGTTTGACTCATCGCCTGGCGTAATCTTCCACAGAATTCATAATATTTATGAAGAAATTGTGACACCAGTAGAAAGATCGGGGTTCTCTAAATTTTGGTCCTTTTAAAATAAGTGATTTAAGGTCCTCATTATTTACTATAGTTACGTCACCAGTAATGGCGTATACAACAGGACTCTAGTTGTAGGGTGAAGAAGAACATGAACACGTCTGAGGATAATTTTTTTTTAATTGAAAACTTTGGAAGCAATAGTCGATGTATATCTGCAAGAAATAGAAGGTGTGGACTTCAACTTGAAATATGATGGGATACAAGACTGGACCTTTTTGCGATTCAGAAGATTACTTATATTAACTGCGTCAATTCCTTTGTTGGCAAATTGAAGTTTAAGGAACAAACAGGTTGTTTGAGCAGTGCTTTCTTCCATAAAACGCTGCGGTTTTAAAAAAACCCTATGATTTCATGATAGTCTTATCAATGATAGGATATCAAAACTCGCACTGGCTTCATTTTCTGATGGTTCCCCCGTCTTATTAAGGCTGTCTAAATAAATCGTTTTCTTCGTTCTGCTTACATAAAATATTTTCATTCTCTGTTCTAGAAGCTATGTCTCATGACACTTAACATCTACAATGTCAAAACTTACTAATAGTCTAAATTGCACTAAGCAACAAACGCAGCAACCTAGTATATAAATGCCGTGTTTTGTAGTTGTACCTTGTTTCACTTCAGTTTACTATTTCTAGGATGAAAATCAAACAAATAAAATTCTTGTTTGTGCTTTTTATTAATAATGGATGTTTTATTAATGACACATATGAACAAATCATCAGGGTCTTTAAGTGATTTTTGAACTGAAAGGTCGAATTGCAGACAATCAGCAAAACTCTAAGTCTATGGTTCCACCAGTCTCGTTATTATATACACATGTACACTTGTTGTTGAGTATCATACATTTATAATCACTAATAGATACAGTTTTCATAAAGCAGATGAACTAAATCATCTATTGATTAAGATTCCACATTTGGCTAAGATATGTACGAAACAAAAAAATAAGTGGTCCCGACAGGATTTAAAGTAGGGTGTAAGTTCACCCTATTCATGGTCTGCAGCAATTGCTTTTCGCCATTTTTGTTACATCCTGAGTACTAAAAGCTATTACAGGCAGAGTCATCAAGGATGTGGGTTTGGTCTAACACACGATCAAGACAAAGGGTTCACAGCGGGTGTGCCCGATTAAGAAGGATGTTTAATCCTCCATTGTACCTGATCCAACCACTGGTGTTTTCAGGGGTCTGACTTTTCCCTGTTCACAAATTTATTGTTTTATTGAATTCAAAGCCTTTTTTATGTATTCTTTTGGTCTCAGCCCATTAGTCTCTCAAAGATATACTTTTATTCCCGTTATGAGTCTTAAGATACTCATTCTCTCTTCATTTTTTTTCGCGTTCATAACATCAGTTTCTCATTAAATGTATCAGATTTAGGGTATTCTTGATCTCAGACCGAAACCGTGCGTCGAAAGAACAGCATATAAAAGCGTTACTGGTGTGGTGGAGAACATGGAGTCTGTAGATCACCTCAACAAATCGCCGAAAATTATCGGAGAGACCATCCCAGAAAGTGGCATCCAAGGACTCAACAATCAGCAAAGTAGCTTTAGGAATGTAACTCACCATAGCAACAACAGTTATTGTCATGAACATGCACGTAAACTGGTCCGTTCTTCTATTCAGCTTCCGGTAATACCGCCCTAAAGACTTTGTGCTCGCCGTTTTGTCCGTTTGAATAAAGTCCTAAGATACTCATTCTCTCTTCATTTTTTTTCGCGTTCATAACATCAGTTTCTCATTAAATGTATCAGATTTAGGGTATTCTTGATCTCAGACCGAAACCGTGCGTCGAAAGAACAGTATATAAAAGCGTTACTGGTGTGGTGGAGAACATGGAGTCTGTAGATCACCTCAACAAATCGCCGAAAATTATCGGAGAGACCATCCCAGAAAGTGGCATCCAAGGACTCAACAATCAGCAAAGTAGCTTTAGGAATGTAACTCACCATAGCAACAACAGTTATTGTCATGAACATGCACGTAAACTGGTCCGTTCTTCTATTCAGCTTCCGGTAATACCGCCCTAAAGACTTTGTGCTCGCCGTTTTGTCCGTTTGAATAATGTGTGAATATTTGGAGTCGCAATGTTCAAGCTGGTCATCAGTTTGGAATCGTTCTGATGTTTCCTCTCCTTGGTTTGTCATGGTCGGGAATTCTAAGTCGATGTTAGTTTCTTGTTTGAGCAGTCCGATTCTTCTTTTGGCACTTGTTCGTCGTTTCTTTTTCAGGTTCGTTTGCTGAAAAATTGTTCTTCCAATTAGGCTGTACAGAATCACTAAGCATGAAATATTAACAAAGACGAGAGAGAAAAGTAATATGTTGTAGATGATGGGCTCACTGTTGTGCCAATGGGTTTGATCTTGTTTGCAAACGTAACCAGTAGCATTGAATCTAGAACTATATATTGGAACAACATCGTAAATTGGTAGAATTGGTATTGTAATGGTTGTCGATATGAGGAGAGCAGCAATTAATAATAGTCGCCTATATTTCAATGTCATTTGCTTTCCGCAAGGTCTGCAGATTTTCAAATACCTCTGAACGGCAATACCAATCAACATAAATGCAGACAAACATCCAATAACAGAGCAGAGGTACCAAAACATTTTACACAACAGAGCCAAACCATCCCCATCCATTATACTACTGTAATATTGTGACCATATTGCAACCATATTAAGGACGAGGCCGATAAAGTCAACGATTGATAGGTAAGGTATGAAGTATCGGTCATCGCGGGAGTGACGAAGTCGTGCTATAAAAACGAGTATGACTGCCGAGTTCGCGATAAGACCCATCACAGAGCACAGGGTCACCAGAACCAATGACGGAAGATAGATCCATGACATATGTGTATTCCAGTTTTCTAGATTCAGGGGAATGTGTGAATTATTACCATTCCATCCTACGTTCTTATCTTCTTGCAGCATCTGAAAGTAAACGTCAAACATTTCCTGTTTTACCTTGCATTTCTTGTCATTAAAAAGTTGCATTTAAATCTAGAATATGTAATGAGGCTTTCCCTTAAGGGAGCCGACTGGGGTTTTGTTGTGTGAAAACTACTATAGAGAAACTCTTTAATTTTATACCATATGCACCTTACATTGACTTCAGTATACTTTCCAAGTTTAGTGAAAATCTACCGTTTGGTTATTTTTTAGAGACCATCTCAAAATACAGGTACATTTACTATAGGATTATATAGGAAAATTCCATTTTTTTCGCACTTCGGAGCAAATTATACAAATGCTACAATAGACTTTTTGCTGAAATCATATTATTTGATGGGTAATACTATATTGTACATTTTGTGCAAGAAACACAAAATTCTACCGTCTAGTTTCCAGAGGGGGCATCTAAAAATGTCAAAATTCATGATATTTTCCTGCTTATATAGAACAAAACATGACAGATACCACAGATTTACATAAAAAGTACTAAAAATGATTGTTAGATTCTCAATTTCCTGTGTTTAAAATTTCAAAAGCATGCATTTTATACTTTTTATTTTATGGCATAATTAATGATCTCGCTTAAAGAACCTTGGTTATTCATAACGTCAAAAACACACTATTACGACGTCTATCTACCCATCATTTGAAAAATCATTCAAAAAATCAGTAATTTAAAAAGGTAATACGCTTTATTTTACTATGCTGCGCGAAGTATTGCACAATGAAAACCCCAGTCGACCCCCTTAAATTTAACATTGTAATTGCATCCGTTTTTTATACCTATAAGGAACCAGATATTTCACATAAACATGAAGTTATGTGGATGCATCCAATAAAGTGACTAGTATTATAGTTAGTTTTGTGTTTGAACATTCAAAGAAAGGACAAACATGCATTCATAAGAAAAGTATCACTGCTTAAAGATGAATTTAAATGTGCAGTGTGATGATCAGAGATAACTCTTGTTAGAAATTAGGAACTCTCTAGTAGAGAGAAGATAACTTTTAGTCATCAGCCAATGAGAATCAAGTATGCTAATTAGAAAAGGTATAAAAGCGCTGTCTTCTCAGTGCAGAGACACAGCAAGACAGAGTCACACTCGGTCAGTTGGACAATCGAATAGAGAAGCTGCTGAAGTAAACTTGGATAAGGTGAGACAGGGATTAGACGTGACTGAACAAGTCTTTCCTTCCCTATCTTACATTTAAGTTAAACTTTTAATAATTAAAGTAAACTTAGTTATTCTTATAAATAGGTAAGCCAGCAGTTGAGACGCATTTGAGACTGTTAATTTTAATATAGAGCTAAATTGAGACTTCAATTATTTACCCCGTCCCAAAGGTTTTTGTACATAATTTCTCTTTGTTAGGTTCTCAGAAGTTATCTGAGCTTTCCCACGAATCACTTTTTGAGCAAGTAGCTCAGTTTAGATTGAGGATAATATTTTTTGTAAATATTTTTGATTATTTTTGTAACATCCGCTCGGTTACACGCCACATGCAGATTGGTTAAAAATGTATCTTGATATGGTTTCATCATACTATAATTCTTGACGTATTATTAATAAATGAGTAAATATTTAAATACAAACTGGTTTGAGTATACGAAGAGCAGTTCATACATGTATCTATATGTATTGGCATTTGCGTGACTGATATTTGCGAAAAACAGCTGATCCACTTTTTAAGAAGCCGTTAAAATATTAAATATTTATTACATTATTAAATATTTCTTTAAATCCCAAATAACTTGTTTACAGAATTAACAACAAATAAAATAGATCGCCATATTATCATTAAAAAAAAACAAAGATAAAAATGATATTTTACTAAATTTTTTCCAAAGCAAAATTCTTAACCTTAATATTAGCTGAGGAAGTGACAACGTCGACTTTTCCAATAGTCATATCAAATTCTGAGTAGTGTAAAATGTTGATAAGTAAAATATATTTACCTCTCCTCAATATGTCTTAAGGTAACATGGTTAAATCGAAGAATGACATTATAATAAAAGTAAATATTGACAGAAATATATTTTACATCTTCACTTGAAGTTCACATGCCATTGTTTATATTACACAAGATTCACTAATTTTCAAAATATATTTCCGGAAAACGCCATATTTAGACATGTTTGTGTATGTAACTTCCTTGAATTTATCAATTTGCGATCGATGTTCAAGTGCCACGTACACTTTTAATTGGATATTTACGGAAATAATGTTTTCTCAATAAATATTATTTATATACAATATTATCACCATAACTACAATATACATGGAAAGTCCTAAAACTGCCAGCACTTGCCGCATATGCACTTGCCGCATATGCTTTGTACATCATAAATAGCTCTATAGCATCTGTCAAAAGGAACAAAAAGTATACATTTAGCAATTCATTAAATCATTGCATAAATTAACAGATTTGACTGTGCATATTGAGTTTGTAAATAAATTACTAATGAAGTTCTACATGCATATACATGTAGAAGTACTACAATGGAAAAAACCTTACAGTAGCAGTTCATGCTGTTTCGGAGGAATCTACTCGAATAAGGTGTTTAAAAGAAAATTCGTTTGTCTCAAGTTTATTTTGCACTGAAGTGTGAATAACGTGGTTATATTACATTTTATTTGTTTCTTCGACACATTGATTACAAGAATTTGACATTTAACGAGTGCAAAATTTCATAAGCTATAGTATTCCAACGTTCGAGATGCAGTTGTTATATAAATAATAACAGGTTACACAGAAGTGTAATAAAATCAGGTGTACATTGGAGCACATTGTAATTTGCATGTTCTCAAATGTATATGTCTTCATGCGTAAACCCAAAAATCTACACGATTGCAATACTGGAATAGAAAGACTTCTATCAGGCGGTAGAGTGATGGGTGATCTTTCAAGTCACATAAAAAAAAACAATTTGTTGTGATTATCTAATATTTTGTTTAGTCATTTAGTCATTCGTTTTTATACTCGCACTTTTTAAAGAAAGTTCGGGTATACTTTGTATACATGTAGTTATCCTGGTCCGTCCGTCCCTCAATCTGTCACACATTCTTCTTCCATAAACTACTCGAATATTTTAAGTAGCCAATTTATCTTTTCGAAGATGATTGGTGGTGCCTTGAACATGTGCAAAACGATTTTGAAATTTTCACTTTAACCCTGGTGCCAAATGGGGCTGATAAAAACATTTTTCCCTACAAAATCCTGGTTCCCTGAACTCCTCTTAAACAATCCATATTTTCGATTGTGGTTGGGAGTGTCTTGTAGATGTGCAATCATAAATTAGGACAGATCTTACCCTTCCATGCTTATAGTAATAAATGGGAATTATGTCTAAATATACTGAGTATTCAACACCTACACATCTGTTATGTATTCAATATCATTGAATCTTTTGCTATTAGGGATGGAATACCTTAATAATAATAACTTAAACATGTTCAGTTTCCACAGTTTTAATTATCTAAACGTGCAAAAAATCAAAATAAAGTTTTCTTTCTTCTTCATAAGTTATTAGAAAGATTAGCGTTTTTAAACTCTTCCCAATTAGTTTAAAAAATAGCGATTTTTAAGAAAATTTTATCTCATAATTATCTTTTAATTTCGATGAATGAAGTCTTAAACTTCTTCTCATAAAAATATAGGGAAGATAAAAAATGTGAAATATATAAATCTTAAAAATATCACACAGGACTGAATCAATATGCCTCTGACCTTCATCAGGGGCACAAAACATGATTAGCTCAAAAAATTTACCAGTGTCTTTTGTTGTTTTCTAGTCTCAACAAAGCCTTCACAAAATGAAGCTTTTTACAAAGAAAGAGGTGTTTAACGCAAGCCTTTACATGGTAATATCATCTATCCTTCTCCCTCCCTCTCCCCACTCCTTCCCCACACCTCTCTCTCCTACTCTCCCCTATCTCTCTCCCTCCCACTCTCTCTCCTCTCTCTCTCCACACTCTCTCCCCACTTTGTCTCTCTCTTCCCCCCTCTCTCTCTCTCCCCACTCTCTCTATCCACTACCCACTCTTTCCATTCTCTCTATCCACTTTCTCTATCTGCTCTCTCTCCACACTTGCTCTCTCCCCTCCCACTCCCTCCCTTCTTTCTCTCCGCGCTCTCCCCACTCACTCTCTTCCCTCTCCACTCACTCACTCTCTCCCTCACTTTCCTCTCACTCTCCCCACTCGCTCTCTCCCCTCTCGCTCTCTCCCTCACTCTTCCCTCTCACCCCACTCTCTCCCCACTCTTTCCATTCTCTCTCCTCGCTCCCCTTCTCTCACTCCCCCTCACTCCCTCCTCCCCACTCCCCTGCTCTCTCTCACCCTCACACTGCCCTCCCCACCCCATTCTCTCCCCACTCTCTCTCCTACTCTCTCTTTCTCTCCCCACTCTCTCTCCTATCTCTCCCCACTATCTCCCCTTTATCTCCCTCTCTTTATTTTTTTTTTGACCGTCTGACTCATTTATTATTAGACCCTGTGAAAAAAACTAATATATATGCATAATACGTAGATGTTTCAAAGTTATTTACAATAAAATTAATGGAAAAAAATACCTATTCGAGAATAAAGACAAAATTCTTTCTGTTAGTAGAAAAGAAATTATAAAATGTTTATTCTTGATCTTTTTACTTTAAATTCGATTTGGCAAATTTGTTTATTTTTGCAAAACAATGAATGTAATCTAAAATTACAAGGGCGATAATTTCAAACAACAGAAAATACTGCTTTCCTGTTCACAATTTGTTCATTGCGTTATATGTTTGCGCATTTAATATGCTTGGAAAACAATATTTATATGCTTACTAACATGCAAGGAACATATGTCAGCTTGGAATCTAAGTTGGATATTTATTTGTTGTACCGTTATGAAAAATAAATGTGTGGTTCATGCCCTAAATTATCCACATGCAGAGAGGAGGTCTATAAATATCCTTTATTTGATCTAGTATGTAATAAGGGTTTGACATTCACTATCCTTTTCCCTTGTTAGCTTTCAGTTTACTATATTTTCCTAATTTTTATCTTGTTCAGACATCGTGTCGTTGCTTTCAATGGTAACCAAAATGTACTTGCATCATGACTCACTCGTTGTTCTACGTATTACCAGGCATTTCATATTTTCTTATTGCATATAAACATTCGTTTGGTATTTGTTCAAATAGTACTCTTAATAAAACTATGTATAATCTTTATTTGTTGCATGGTTCTACTCTGCTAACCATAGATTTCTACATTGAATGGACAGTGTTAAATGATTAACCGTTGGGCTATCAACGTAATTTGAGTAAATGTTCATCTTATTACAGGTCCTAGCAAAGCTTCTGGGAAAAATAAAATCATTCACTTAAGTAATTGAGCCATTCAATCAAAAAAAGAAAGTCAAGCAAATTGTGGGCTTTTCAAAAATTGTACCAAAGTTGCCTCTGTCGCGCAAAGGAACCCTCCTCAATCTACATGTACTGTACATAACATTACAGAGACAGAGTTTATAAATTGTAAAACACTTGAAGTAAGCATTTAATTCTAAATCTGAAGGAAGAATTTAAGAAGGAATGCCACACCATTTTTTTTCATAGATCTTTAAGACATCCTTTAAACTATGGTTTTAGCATTAAAAGGCCGATATTAGCTCTCAATTATTTTATAAGATTTTCCCCCAATTTTTCATAGAAAAAAAAAACAATTTAACAATTTCATTTCAATTTCTTTTTAAAATATGATTGACTAACATATTCTCCCTTGTTGTGACTAGTTTTATGAAGATTTTATCCATTGATACAAAAAATATTTACAAATTTTGTGTTTTATATTCATAAATAATATTTGATTTATCACATTTTATTAGACATTCATATTATGCATTAATTAATAGCAAATTTTAAAAATTGGGATTATATCAGTTAGATATTCAGGAACTTGGTTATTGTAGTTAATCTCGTATTTTTTCTTCTTTCGTGTAATGGTTCCCACCCAATTTCAAAGTATAGTGCATCTTTGGAAGCTAATAGAGTTAAGAGCTATAATTTTTCGCTATCGCCTACATTACATCCACCCCATACCAAGGAAGCATATTCTAATTGGGGTCTAAGAAAGATTGTGTACATGAGTGAAAGAGTTTTCCGATTTACAACAATTTTGATTTTTCTTTTAATAGGCATCTTTGCAAATAAAACATTTTTTTTCATTTTCTCTGAAAAAATACCCCCAAAAATCGTATTAAATAATTAAGAGCTAATATCAGTCTTTCAGTGCTGCAAACATAGTTTAAAAGGGATGTCTTAAAGATCTATTAAATAAAATTTTGGTGTGGCATTCCTCCTTAAATTGTGAAAAGGACTGGGGAAAGAGGTAGAAAACATGTTAGAAATTCTCCAACTGCAGTGCATGATTTGGAGATAAGCCAAGGCCATCTTTAAAAAAATGTTTGTTAACCTTCTCCCGACCGACTGGCTAAAATGGCCCGACTCAATTTTTTTTTTTTACCTCCAGAAAACAAAATATTTTTTCTTTTCTCACCCGTCCACATATATATGTATGTTGAAATTTTTAGGGGGAAAAATTAACGCGTATCATATCTCATTTAGAACTTAAGGATTTTTAACAGGTTTTATTATATAATATTGTGAAAAAGTAGGGGGTCAGATTTCTATGGGGGTCATTTTTCAACGTGAGAGGAGTCGTAGAATTACCGGCCTGGGAGGGTTTTCTACGGTCGAAAAATGACCCTACTTGTCGTGGAATATTGACCCAGGATCATTTTTCTACGTAGAAATTTGACTCCCCTGGTCAATATTCTATGGGGGTCACTTTTCGTCGTTACACCGATACCTCTCTATTGATAAGCAAGAATCATACCCCTAGACCACGGAGGCACTTGACTTTGCAGCAAATTAAATGCAAACATTAGGTCCGTATAATGTTTATATTCACGTTCGATATTATCAAAATTTTACACAATACATGGTGTCTAATTTAGCCTTTACTAAACTGTTTATCTCATTTTATTATATTTGGGAAGGCAACACTAAAGCGATTATTCTTACTATTTATCCCATAAGTGGACTAGTCCAATCATAAACAAACTCCCTCCACCTAGTAAATGGGACATCCCTTCTTGATTCAGTCTATCTTCCACCTTTCCTTTCAATATTTCATTTATTAATAATGTACTTTACAAGGTTAGGGTTTTTTAAAAAAAGCTTAGAAAGTCAGCCAGTAGCATATTATTTCATGCATTGTGATGAACAAGGGTTTCCTGTTAATACAGTGACAAGAGTGTAGGTCAGTAGAGGAATGGGCTTCACTCCCGTAAGAGTCGGAAAAATGAAGACATCATTATCTGTACTGGTTTTCATTTCATAAAAAGGCACGTTATTATAATTATGAGAAAGGTCCTAAAATCGATTGAAAAGAAAAACTAAACAATTTTAAAACAAAATACAATCAATCAATCAATCAATCAATCGAAAACCATTTTCAACCTCGGCTACACCTCAGTTGACAATAGTTTTCTTGGGGTGAAAATTTCCAATGCTACACTCAACTATATGCAGTATTATAAAAATATTGCATATAGCTCAGAGTAACATTGAAAATTTTCACCCCAAGAAAACCAGGCTGCGCTTCGGTTGACAGTGGTTTTCTTGGGGTGAAAATTTTCAATGTTACACTCAGCTACATGCAATATTTATTATATTATACTGAATGTTTTATACAAATACATATAACAGTGAACCTTGTGCGCAGAAATTCTGCGCAGTCACTATTTTTTAGAATATCACCCGTCGTCAAGCAATGTTAACTGGATTCATTATTCAGCTGGTAATAGTGTTTTTTAACAAATGCTTCTCGACGAATCAGATTCAACTAATTTACATGAAAGTATAATATTTATATATTAATCGTTGGCACAAACATTCTGCGCATTCAACATTTTTTGGAGTATCATAAATCGTCAATCAATGTAGACTGATTCTACGTTAAACTAGAACTATCACGCTGGAGGACAGGGTTTAATAATTCAGAGGGCAATATTTAGCGTTTTTTAACAAATGTTTCTCGACGATCGAATCATATTCCACTATTTTACAAATTGTTAAAGTATATATATAATTTTATATAATAGTAGAAAATAATGCGAGTGATATTATTAATAATCTCACATCGAGTTTAAATGTGGATATCGTGGCAAATTATTTAACAGGGATGGTCCAAAAGGCCCGGGGCAACCCTAACAACAATAAGTCTTCACATTCTTTTTCCGTGGTTTTACTCTCTTTTTTTTGGGGGGGGGGGGGGGTCACAAAAAGGCATTCCCACCCCCACCAGTAATTGTATGAATAAAACAAAATTCTTGCATTCTACAATTACATTTCCAGACAGTGCATGTTCAGAATCAAACGTTTGTAATTTCCTTGAATTCATAAATTTTCCATCGATGTTCGAGTATTTAGAGTGTTATGTCCACTTTGTGTAATGGTTTAATTATTAATAATGTTACCTTTAGAATACATGTTCATGAGTACACCTGCTTCGTTAATTAGGTTTTAAATCGGAAGTAATGATTTTAACAGAGTGGAAGGTCCAATACCGCCGGCACGCTCTGTTCTGCCACTCTCTTAATCATAATTTATGGAAATTTTTCGGCTAAAACTGGAAGGCGTTAATTTTTAATTATTAACGAGGTTAATTGTTTGTATACTTTATATACTAAATTGAAAAATTCTGGCACTTTCATGCAATTTTGTCGGAATACTTACAGCTTAAAGGGGTTTCTTTATATCTCAAGGTTTAGCACATGTAATTTTATTTCCTTCAGAAATGCTTTAGTTCGGTTTACCTCTGTTTATACACCAATAAATACACCAATAAATCTACAAATATAATACTGTTTACGATAAAAAAAATTTCAGTTCTCTTGAAGGGTGATTTCCTGTCACAAACTGGGAAAATAACTGAAGAAATTTAAGGCAAGCTATACATCAATCAGTTCAAAACTAACAATTTACACACATTCGAATAAAACACAAGCTTAAGGGATTTTCACTTCTTGTAAATAAGAACAATTTTTCGGATCATGGACTAGATAAAGTCTATATTTGAGGAATATAGCGAGATTTCAGATTGTCCCTTTGATGGTATTTATTTGATATTTAGTTAATTTTTCTCAGTTCTATCTCTATAGAGAGAAAGTCAGGTAAAGGTCAGTGAATTCCAGTCCTATCCTAAGAAGTATTTCATTTATCATTCAGACACCCGTTTACAAAACTTTTTAACCTCGGCGCGAAAACGTGTATCAAAATACCCGTATATCAAAGCATTGCACGCGTGATGCAAGGCATGGAGACGGTAAGCTACCTCCACAACACTTCTCCAAAAATCTGGAAAACTTATCCAAAATTGGGAGTCCAGTGACTCGAACATAAGCAGAGTAGCTCTAGGAACATAACTGACCATTGCCACCATTGTCATTATAAGGAACATCCACGTGAACCGATCAATTCTTTTTCGGAGATGGCGATAATGCTGCAGAGATTTTGTTTTACCTCGGATGTCTCTCATTTTGTCCAGGTCAAAGGAATTCCCTGTAGGGTATTCTGGCAAAGTGGACATCTCCGATCCAACGAATCTTTTCTTATTGTTTCCTCGTCTGTCCAGTGTCCAATCGGAGTATTCTGAAATATCATCAGCTTGACCATTTTTCAAAGTCACGTTTTCTCGTTCGTTCAGCGATTCCACATCGAAGCTGGATTCGAGATTAATTCTTCCCATTCTGCGTTTGGCGCTCAATTTTCGTCTATTCTTTAAACGCGTTTGCCTGTAAATAGTTTTTCCTATGGAACAATAGATTATCATTAAAAGAAGAATGTTAATAAACACGAGGGATGCAATAGTAACGCTGTATATGACAGGTTCGTTGTTCAGCCACTTGCTCTGTCCACGTGAACAAATGTACCCAGTGACGTTATACATGCGACTTTCTATTGGAGCCATGTCGTAAAATAATGTAAATGGAAATGCGATGATAGCTGATATAAATAACGCCACTGCCAAATACAATCGTCTGATTTTCAGATCCATCTGTTTTCCGTGTGGTCTACAAATTTTAAGATATCTTTGAATAGCAATGGCAATCAAAATGAATGCTGAAAAAGATGCGATGCCTGAGGTTCCAAACCAATACAATTTACAAGGAATGAACAGACTGTCGTTGTCGTGAACATAGGGAAAATACTGCAACCAGGCTCCCAAGCAATTTAATGTTAATCCTAGGAGATCAACAAAGGAAAGGAATGGAATGAAATAGCGATCATCTCTAGAACTCTTCATCCGAAACAAGACGACTATGACAACTGTTGGGTTGGCAACAGTTCCCACCACGAAACACAGCGCTAGAAACGCTGTTGCTGGGATAAAAACGAGGGCCATATGCCCGTTCCATTCCTGAAGTTGGGATTCCTCAGTGTCATTATAGAACATCTGAAATATATTTGAAATCATGGTCTAATTTAACGACGAAGTATTGTCGATTTTTTTTGTTCTGGCATCAAACACCTCATTTTAATTGACTTAGGTTTCACCAATCAGTAAAGTGCGTATCCAAAATTAAATAGAGGAATATCTTACCTAACTTAAAAAATACTTATGATTATCCAAAATTAAATTGAGGAATATCTTTTTTAAAAAAAATTCTTTCAATCGGTAACTGCAAGTAAGATGATAGCTGTGCACGCTAAATAATGACGATTCTAGTATGTTATGTATGACATGCAAAGTAGAAGTATTAGATTTACAACTGGTGTACATTTTATATAATGCTAATCATTGCTGTTGGAGGAAAGCCTCATTGTATGTCCTTCTTTTAAAAAATAGCTTCTAAGTGTTTTCAACATTATCCATAATTTAACAACAAAGTATCTGAATAGATTAAAGTACTATAATGTAAAATAAAATGACAAAATGAATAAGAAGGCTATCATACCATCATTGTTATATATCCTCAGAAACTTTTACTAAGCTGAATATTTCTCCCATACTACATGTATATATAAACTGCTTGTGAGAATCGACAAAGTGTTAATTTTGATAATTTCCTCGATTGCATTCATATTTTCCATGAGAGAACATAAGGCTATAGTGCATAATGCGGAAATTTCCTTTCAACAACATCACTTGGTGCTGTATGTGAAGCTTTTGGTGTTGCAGTCCAATAGAACTGATAATAGGTATAGGTTGCCCATAAAGCGCAGCAGTTTAAGTAAATAAAGATGATCATGGGTTTGAATATCAATGCCGGACACGGAAGTCGATCTTTTGGATAGTATACAGTAGAACAGAGTCATTTATTGCATCTGATTATTTCACGGGTCCATATTTCAGTACCTGCACGTACAAGAGAGGGAAATACTTCTGAAGCAAGGAACGTACACAAAAATGGCAACATTCTACTTTGGTCATTGTGTGCAATAAACATTTTTTCCCTCTCAATGTTTGAAGGCTGCATGTTTATTTTTTCTTTTAATTAAAAAATACGTAAGTAATAAATGTTTATTTCTCAGTAAATGTCAATAACTTATGTATTTTCTATTTAATCCAATTAACGAATTTGTTATAAATCACGAGTGTGGGATCTGTATATCATAATAATTATGAAAAAAAAAATATGGTACCTGGCTTGGACTTGTGGAGTTAAAATGAATCAGACTAAAAATTATAATTAAAAAAAAAAAGAACGGAAAAAAAAACAAGGAAGTTATTGAAACACAGGCCTAATTCATTGGTAATGTCGGTTTAAAAATTAGCAAATTCTAAATCAGTAAAAAAAAAAAATCACGTCGTGTAGATTGTTTCTAAATGAGAGAACTACTTAACCGTACAAAAAAATTCATTTGATTTGTTCTTAATCCCATTTCAAGTTAGTGCACTTGCGACAGCTTAGGTTTTAAAGCACACGCTCTTTACATTGTCCTGATAAACGTCTATTCGTCCTTTAGAATCATATTTTTTTTATCAGAAGAGAAAGAAATTTGATATTCAGCATATGTATTGCTTGGCGTAAAGCACTAGGATACTGACCTCATTATCCAATTTCATCTTTGGTTATTTCATGATGAAAGTAACGCTATAGGGGTAGGGCTGTAATATACTGGAAGGAAGATTAAAAAAACATCAAGGTTTATAACTTGGAACTTAACCTCTTACCTAACGTTAAAAAAGGTTATCTCCTGTTCTCTGAATACAAAAGACGTGCCTTTGATTTTTGTGTCCCTTAATCGAAGATTTGGGGGATATATTTTGCTCTGTCCGTTGTCGCATAATATTTGGTCCTCCTCGTTTAAAGGTCCGGGGGGACCTAATACGATAACATATAAGGTCCGGCCTGCCTCTATAATAAAAGGTCCGCCATCGGTTTAATATGCAGATTTTTCTCCTTTATTGATTCGAAATTAATTTGCTTTATTAATCTTTTTAAATTATTTAAGGTATAGTTGTTATAAAAGTGTCCCTCCCAGCAAAATGGAGTTCCAGGGACCTACATGTATGTACATTGTATATATACTAAAAGGATCAAGTCTTGCGATATCTCGCTAGTTGCTGGATTTCGTTAGCCAATTTTAATTAATTATATTTCTAATACTATGATATATTTCAGTACAAAACCTCAAATTATCTATCAAAAAATTATTCAAAATTTGATGTTAGCACTGATTAACTGTTTGCTCCTTATCGTAGTACATACCTCCCAGGTAGTGCACAAAACAAAAAATATAAAGATGCAAAGATCTGTTATCGAGTTACCTTATGGGAAAATCATGTACGACATGTGTCTTTTATAGTTTAAGTGATATCAATATTATCATTGCAAAATAAAAAAAAAATACATATATATAATACGCATACCTTCACTGGCACATTGTTCAGTATATGGTGTTCGTAAGTCCAACAATGATCATTTCATTACAGTCTATTTCCTAACAACGTTCGACTTCCACTTCCCAAAAAGAATTTTCATATCTTTCGAAAGATATTTCATTATATCATTAATAATAATTATGCATAATTCTTACGATTCATATTGTACCTAACTATAAAATAATTGGAGGGTCACTTTGACAGGGACTTGTGTTACGGTGTACTAGCCTATCCCGTTGTTGTTAAAACAACATGTCTGTGCTTTGGGGGGTAGGCCTATTGTCTCACCTGACGAAACTTGAAGTCGCATATCCCCCGTGTTTTTATAACCATCGTTTCTTATCCAGTTAAAGACTAACGATTATTTCATTCTACTTGATATTACCCCGGGGTTAACACTGGTTAAGGAAGATGTGCATTAATTGGCAAAATCAAACCAAAGTCAATCGAGTTGAACATTTTAAGCAATAAAATACCCCCTCCCCCCAAAAAAGGAAAAGATTATAAATGGTGTTGTTGTATTTTTGGTGGGTGGGGTATAGCAAAATTATGCTGATACATGTCAAATAGTTTAAAAAGTACTGATGTTGTAGACTTTCCTCCCGCATTAATATTTTTTCCCGGAAAAACGAGCTTGGGTTTAGAGACCCCTCCCCTTTTGGAAAATGAGCCCAGCATAGGATTTTATTTCCGGGATTTTTTTTTTAAATATTGTTTATTTCATTCCCTACAAAATTGTTAGGTAATATCCGAAACAACATATGTGCAATGTATAGCATTTATGAAAATCGAACTTCAAAAATTCTGTCATGACTACATGAGACCGATTGTATTATTTCCTCCATGGTTACCACGGAGAACGACTGAGGACTTCGAAAAGGATAATTTAAGGAGATTGGCAAAGTTCCTAGCTTTCGTAAAGAATTTTTCAAAAACTCTTGAGCAGCACTCGGCACACCTCGGCCGATTCGTACCTCATCAAGGTGAAGGAATCAGCCGAGGTTTGCCGAATGTCTTGAGCAGGTGTAGTGGTACTAAACAATACACTTTATTGGTTTTCACCGCGTAGAAAATTCTACACGGGAGATCACTCTCAATCAAGCTCCAGACAGCTCAGTATTACTCCATATCATTATTCGTAGGGAAAGAAGTCCCGGAGAGTATGGAGTATGACTCTCAGTCATACTCCATACAGTGTCAGTTCTCCGGGACTACTTGGTATGGAGTTGTAGCGTAACGTAATACTGAGCTGTCTGCAGCTTGGACTCTCATGATGGAAAACCCCATCAATTACCTTTTTTCTTCGGATAACCGTGAGTTGCCACTTTCCATAAATGAATAAAATAAATATTCATAAATAATCAGCGTTTTATAAAAGAAATATATTTTTGATTTAAAATTAGACTGAAACGCTTCTAGTCGACATCACGAAAATGTACATATCATATAGCTTGAAATGGGAAATATGACGCACGCTTGACAACGTCCCCAGAAACAATCAGTCAGTATATTTCTGGGTGCATTTGTGTGTGGGGGGGGGGGGATTATAGCACAAATTAATGTAGAAAATAGAAATTCCTTGATACGCAAAAAAAAGGAAGAGGATCAACTGATGTTCCCTCCCCCTTCCCCCGTTCATACAGACGTGAGATACATAAATGACTTGTATATAGAACTGGACATTCAACTTTGCCCAAAATGCTTCATGTCGGTAATAAAAGAAAATATTTTACAATAATGATTTCAAATTTTAATCTGTCATGCAATACAGCCTGCTAGATTATCCCACAGTCTGTCTATTATACTCACAGTAAAATGTGTAATTTCTTTTTCTTTCTTTTTCTTTTGGCAAAAAAAAAAAAAAAAAAAAAAAAAATACAAAAATGAAATATTATTTCATATGTAGTTCATTATGACGAGGAAGAGTGATATTTTTATAAGAAAGAATTAAATCCAAACCATGATTATACTTTAAATCTGATGTATATGTTTTCAATATTGAATTACCTGTTTTAAGCTTTAACATTACATGTATTTTGTTTGTGCAGTAAATACAGATCGAATACAACATTAGGCTATATATTACCCTATCCACAAATAAAGGGCAAAATATTATTATAAACTGAAAACAAGTTAATTGTTAAAACTAAAGGGAAGCATATACATATTTTTATTTTTTATCGGTCTTAGTATTAAACTCTACATGCACTTGGAATAAGAAATTTCTTTAAATATTGTAATAAAAATAGACTATATATAATTATATAATTATATCACAATTTTGATGTGTACGCATGAATATCATAATAGTATTATAATTTCTTCTTCAGCATAATTTATTAAAATAGAGAATTCATATCTATTGATTTAAAGCAAACAGATGACCATTACATTGTCATTGCTATCTGCCGCGGGCTCTACCAGCAGGTACCTGTCAGGTATACGAATACTTCACACCCCCATTGTTTTATTGCCTATACACAGCGGCAGATTTCACACCTTTAATCATCCTAATTTACACAAAGCAAATGCTGGGGAAAAACAAACACAAGCCCAATAAATGCGACATTTTTTTTTAAATCATTGCCCTAAACGGTATTGCTAAAAGCACACTAAGCATGGAGTAGCAATTCCTGCCCTAAGAGATATATTGTACAAAAAAATAAACACAACAGCTAGGGCAAATCCTTAATCTTTCTTCATATGATGTAAACAAACTCTCTTTAATTTTATGTGTTTAAGTCAAGATTAAAACATTTTGCACCACCCGGACCTTTAAACTTAGGCGGACCTTTTCTTATACGGGCCGGACCTTTTCTTATAAAAGGCGGACCTTATATGTTATCGTATTAGGTCCCCCCGGACCTTTAAACGAGGCGGACCAAATATTATGCGACACCGTCCGCCTGTCAAAAACTATAACCTTGCCCATAACGTTTGATTGGTTGAAGCTATGGTTTTCGTATTTTCATGTGTATTCCTTGAGAAAAGACCTTTTTGGTGTACCAACATATTTGACCTTTAGGAGTTTAACCCACTTTTGCAAATTTTAACCTTGGGCATAACTTTTTAAGGGTTGGTGCTAGGGCTTTCATACTTCAAATGTGTATCCGTGTATAGACCTTTCCTTCGGTACATATATTTCTTTTACCTTTCGACCCAAACCTAGGAGTTTGATACACTTTAAAAAACTTTAACCTTGAATGATTGGAGCTAAGAGTCCTTTAAAAAATTTAGAATTTTTCAATTTAAATATGTATATGAAAATTAATTGTCAAATACAAAAAACTGAAAAAATCTAAATTTCGTAGGACATAATTATAAGGCTTTCATAAAATACAAGTGTATTCCTTGTGACAAGACCTTCCCTTGGGTTTCAACAATTTTGACCCTTTGACCTTGGAATTTGACATAATTTTGAAAATCTTTAACCATGGCCATAACATTTGAACTGTTAAAGCTAGTGCTTCCATATTTCACAGACCACTTGTGTATTCCTTGTTACAAGACCTTCCCTTGGATACCAACATTTTTTTACCCTTTGACCTTGATCTTTGAGTTTTATCTACTTTTGAAAAACTGCAATCTTGGCCATAACTTTTGAACAGTTGTTGCTAAAGCTTTCATATTTAACATGTGCTATTTCTGTGCAATACCTTTCCTTTGGTATCAACAAAGTTGACCTATCGTCCTTGACCTTTGAGTTTGATCTACTTTTAAATAAACTTAAGCTTGGCCATAACATAAGAATGCTTGATGCTAGGGCATTCAAATTTCAAAAGTTTTTTTTTACTTGTGACAAGACCTTTCTTTGGGTACCAACATTTTTGTTCTCTTGTCCTTGGTGTTTGACTTGCATTTGAAAAACTTTAACATTCGCCATGAGCTGCCATACGGGGGCATCAGTGTTTCACAAACACATCTTGTTTTAAAATGCAAAGGTATATGACTGTGAAATTTCCGTTATACTTTTATAGTCGAAAAATGGGCATAGGCATATCTGCCTTAGCCCCCCCCCCCTCTCCATTTCTCTGCCACTTCACCTAAAGCTGGTAACATCTCTATATGAGTGAAAATTCACAAATACGATGTAAATGTAAAACAAACAAATTGTAACCAAGTTTCTGTGTAAAACTCTACCCCCCAACAAAGTGTTGCCCTACATATCCTAGACCACAGGTCCAGGGGTCCATGATGTAAACATGCAAACTTGAATCTTCACAATATTATATATGTGATTATAAGATATTTACTAAATATAAAAATTGTTTCCTCTTCCTATAAAATATACATACAAATTAAACCTGTTCTTTCAGAGTTTCCCCACACACAATTTTGTCCCAAAAACTTCATTTACAAGGAAATGTTTATTCTAATGACCACTTTGCAAAAAAAAGTGACATTACATCATTTATTTTGTGTACTTTATTTTTGAAAATACTACATGTGCAACACCTGATATAAGTGAATTATTTGCAAATTCTAGGATGAGTTGAATAAGAGGGTAATTTGGCCCTGCTTGATGTTCATCCATAATTTGCTTTTTACTTGCATAATTATGTTCAAGGGCCAAGGACGATTCACTATATCCAATGACTGGAGTGCCAAATCCCTGCCAATGTAAAATAAAAGCTGTCATAAAAACAGGAAATATGTGATTCACAATATCACTGGATGGTGGTAAATTGTCAATGCACCTGATGTGCTCCTGCTTAAAATTGTCCACTCTTCTAGAAATCACATGAGAACAATTATGAAATTCATTTCCTAACCATGTCCCTAAAGCAGTCAAAAACTTCAGCTTGTTTTTTGATATTTGGAGATCACTTTCTGGTTCATCCACTCTAAATTCAGAATCTTTCATTTTATCAAAACAAAACTTTAGGAAATCTAAGTCAAAGCCAAAATCCTCATCTGGGGACTTGACATGAAAGTCAAGAAGTTTTAAGATGGTTAGACACTTTTCTAAGTGCGCCCCAGTGGGAAGATGAGTGTGCAGAACTTCTTGAATTAAATGCTGCATCTTATCCCAAGATAAAAGTGTTGAACAAGCAGTATCTTCTTCGATCATCATTGTAGAATTTTCATTGATCACATCTGCAGAATGTTCAACATATTCATTCACCATACCACAAAACTGACATTTCAGCATCCTGGTACAAAGATTAGGTTGTCTATTCTTTTTAATGTTCTGGAAGTCAAAATTACTGTAACTCAGCTCTTTTGAACAACTTTTATGTATACTTCTTTCATTTTTTGCATTACATGAACCAGAACTGTTGTGTTCAGTTTTAGAGCAAGCACAACATGATTTATCTAATGCCATCTCAATATCTGCATCACAAATTTTACAGCTTATATTTTTTAAGCATAGTATGCATGTTTCCTTTTCATCCTCAACTTCCTTTTCAGAATGATCTATAAGGAAGTATTTTTGACTACAAAGTTTTTTATTATTCTTTGACCCAATCATATTTTCAGAATTGTTCACATTGCAAGTTCTGCGAATCAGTTTTTGAGAACATTTGTCACAAAATTCACCATGAATTTCCTTTCTCTTTTGATTCTTTTCACTTTTATTTCTTCTGAAGTCCAGATTACCTGCTTTCTCACTTGTATTTTCCATCATTTTTTCATTAAAAACAGAACAGTCTCCTGCACTTTGCTGATCATAAAGCCCTTCAGAGTTCAAGATCTTCACTTGTTGGTTTATTTTTTCTTGTGCTGAAGTGCAACTATTTTCAGTGACTTTGTCTGATGAAAACGAGCCTTCACCTGAATGGTTTTCATCTTGATCCATTGTATCTATGTGTTTCAATTTAAAAGGTTTCATGATTTTTTCCATCAGAGATTCCTCTAATGTCACATCTATACTATCAAAGGGCAGAGGTTCTTCCTCATAGAATTTCATCCATAGGTTCTGGAATAAATAAGGAGGACATCAGAAATACTGTTTAAAATAATATTCTATTCAAAAGCAAAGAGTGTTACAGAAAAAACTCTGTCCTAGCTAAGTCAGGACCTGAAGATTTACTTCAATATATCAGTAATTTCTTATATAAGCATCCAGATTACAGATTTGTTACACTACATTTAGCAAATTCACAATTGAATTTTTCTTTCTAATGATTATTGGATATGATCTTAGATATCTAAAATATTTCAAATTGATTTTTACTACACAGTACTAGAACCCTAAATAATTAATCACAATACAGTAAGAACTATCTAATCCAACACCTGTGCAATCTATTTCAGGGTTCTCCACATTTGAGATACAGGATAATTAACTCTCAAGATAATTGACTCTCCATTGTCACGCTTCACAGCATAGTCGCCGATCAACTACCGTGTTTGTTTAGCACAGTCCGCTTTCTCTCGAGGTATGCGAGGTGCATGGCAGTCGTAGTATAAACACAATTAACTACTCAGGTCATTAAAAAGTAGGTGTCAAAACTGAAATGCAATCAAAATTTAATCATGGCGGCCGCCGATTTTAACCATGGCGCAGCTCGTTTAACCATGGCGGGCCGCCATGGTAAAACCCCTTGTGGAGAACCCTGCTTTTTCACTGGAAATTCCAACCTTTTATTCATTTCCACATTAACATGTGCAATCTGTTACCCTGTCTATTCTAACACAATATTTGTGTCCGACTGCATGTTGGTTCTTCTTGAGCGGTTCTCAAAAAAGAAAACTTATCAAATAAATATTTCTGAATTATCTCTACCTGAAAAATGACCTAGGACTTTGAACAAATCTGAATCCCACTCACAATGTGCAAAGCTTTGCAAGAAACAAAATTATCTACAGTCAGCACCATATGATAACATGTTCATCTGACAACAGGCATTAATTAAGAACAAGAGGTCCATATATCACAACACTCACCCGAGGCACAAATACTGTCAATGTGTTATATATGGCACGCCAAATTCACAAAAATGAGCTAATCATAGTTTCACAGTTGATAAACTAGGTTTATCGACTGTAAACTATAGTTTACAGACCGTAAACCATAGTTAACGATGATAATCTATATTTCACATATGTAAACTATAGTTTACACGTAAATCTATGTTTCACAAGCGTAAACTATAATTAACACGGAAGACAACCATTTGCTACTGCAAAATATAGTTTATCTGATAAATATAGTTTCACGATTTGTAAACTATGATTTACAACTCTAAACTATACTTAACAAATGTAAATTATAGTTTAGGCTTTGTAAAGTATACTTTACAGACATACAAAGCGCCAAATTCACAAAAATGCGATAAACATAGTTTTACACTTGAGAAACACAGTTTAGGAACAGAATCTCTTATTTTGTATCGGAGATGCACAATTTTCTATGGCACGCCAATTTCACAAAAATTAGCGAAACTTAGTTTCACAGTTGATAAACTAGGTTTATCGACTGTAAACTATAGTTTACAAACCGTGAACTATAGTTAACGATTCGTTAACTATAGTTTTCATCTGTAAAACTATATTTAACGGTTGTTAACTATAGTTTACGAATGCTAATCTAAGTTTATCTGTCTGTAATTAAACGTTAACAATAGATTTTGTTGATAAACATAGATTCACATCTGTAAACTATAATTTACAATCGTGAACTATAGTTAAGAGTTGTTAATCATAGTTTCACAAATCGTGAAACTATATTTATCAGATAAACTATGTTTTACATTCGTTAACCATAGATTTCGGTTGTAAACTATAGTTAACTGTCATTTATACTCACAAACTATATTTAACAGATGTAAACTATACTTATCGATCGTAAACTATAGTTTTGAGAGCTAAACTATGATTCACATTTGCCAATCATAGTTTATCGTAATAAACTATAATTCACACTCGTAAACTATAGTTAAGAGTTGTTAAATATAGTTTATGAATCTAAACACCTGTTAACGATAGTTTTCAATTCGAAATTTCGCGGCACCAATCTATCAGTGCGGAGAATATTAAGGACACGTGTTGGGCATTATCTAAAGCAAAGACCGAGTTATATATAATCAATATTACTTTCTCTATTTAAACAGGATTAATTGTATTTGTTTTAAAATGTCGTGTATATATACATTTCCTATGGGGATATTTTTAGAAATATGATAAAATTTTAATTTTTTAAAAGACAGAATATTACGAGATTTTTGCTCAAGCAGAGGAGGGTGAAGCGCGTTTTACAATGTGCCAAGCATTTTCCCGCCACATCTCATCACCAAAACAAAGAAACTGAAAGAGAGGAAATGCAGTGGCGGATATAGATAGGGTTGTGGGGGTTTCAACGTCCTCCTTTGAATTTAAGAGAGAGAGAATGAGAGAGAAGTCCCAAATATTTGTTGTGTTTGTTCCGTGAAAGGCCACTTTTATTTATGTATGAAGAAAATTCGGTTGTTGAAAAATAAATTCCGCGCCTGCAATGTTACATGTACTGTGTTATGTCTTTATTTACAGATGAATATAAGATATACATGTATTTTATTAATGACAGATCACGCATTTCGGTCTCTATTTTTCTCTTTTAAATCAAAAAAATAAAATTTTAATCAATAATTTTCCAGTCATTTTTCTTTTTATTTAATTCCAACTAGATTTGCTTTAAAATAACAGAACATTTACTTATAACGCCAACAAGAAATATACATGCATATATATTTAACAACAATTGTCGTTTCATAGCAAAATCTTATAATGCTGTAACTAGGATTAGCCGATCTATAATTTACAAAAAAAAAAAAAAAAAAAAAAAAAAACTATTGTTAACTATAGTTTTGATCGTAAACTATGGTTTAGAGTCGCGAAATCTAGTTTCACAGAAAATTGTGCATCTCCGATACAAAATAAGAGATTCTGTTCCTAAACTATGTTTCTCAAGTGTAAAACTATGTTTATCGCATTTTTGTGAATTTGGCGCTTTGTATGTCTGTAAAGTATACTTTACAAAGCCTAAACTATAATTTACATTTGTTAAGTATAGTTTAGAGTTGTAAATCATAGTTTACAAATCGTGAAACTATATTTATCATATAAGCTATATTTTGCAGTAGCAAATGATTGTTTTCCGTGTTAATTATAGTTTACGCTTGTGAAACATAGATTATCGTGTAAACTATAGTTTACATATGTGAAATATAGATTATCATCGTTAACTATAGTTTACGGTCTGTAAACTATAGTTTACAGTCGATAAACCTAGTTTATCAACTGTGAAACTATGATTAGCTCATTTTTGTGAATTTGGCGTGCCATAATTTTCTGTGAAACTAGATTTCACGACTCTAAACCATAGTTTACGATCAAAACTATAGTTAACAATAGTTTTTTTTTTTTTTTGTAAATTATAGATCGGCTAATCCTAGATACAGCATTATAAGATTTTGCTATGTAATGACAATTGTTGTTAAATATATATGCATGTATATTTCTTGTTGGCGTTATAAGTAAATGTTCTATTATTTTAAAGCAAATATAGTTGGAAATAAAAAGAAAAATGACTGGAAAATTATTGATTAAAATTTTATTTTTTTGATTTAAAAGAGAAAAATAGAGACCGAAATGCGTGATCTGTCATTAATAAAATACATGTATATCTTATATTCATCTGTAAATAAAGACATAACACAGTACATGTAACATTGCAGGCGCGGAATTTATTTTTCAACAACCGAATTTTCTTCATACATAAATAAAAGTGGCCTTTCACGGAACAAACACAACAAATATTTGGGACTTCTCTCTCATTCTCTCTCTCTCTTAAATTCAAAAGAGGACGTTGAAACCCCCACAACCCTATCTATATCCGCCACTGCAATTCCTCTCTTTCAGTTTCTTTGTTTTGGTGATGAGATGTGGCGGGAAAATGCTTGGCACATTGTAAAACGCGCTTCACCCCCCTCTGCTTGAGCAAAAATCTCGTAATATTCTGTCTTTTAAAAAAATAAAATTTTGTCATATTTCTAAAAATTTCCCCATAGGAAATGTATGTATACACGACATTTTAAAACAAATACAATTAATTCTGTTTAAATAGAGAAAGTAATATTGATTATATATAACTCGGTCTTTGCTTTAGATAATGCCCAACACGTGTCCTTAATATTCTCCGCACTGATAAAACATATACCCCATTATTGCTTCTCGCGATTGGTGCCGCGAAATTTCGAACTGAAAACTATCGTTAACAGTTAACAGGTGTTTAGATTCATAAACTATATTTAACAACTCTTAACTATAGTTTACGAGTGTGAATTATAGTTTATTACGATAAACTATGATTGGCAAATGTGAATCATAGTTTAGCTCTCAAAACTATAGTTTACGATCGATAAGTATAGTTTACGTCTGTTAAATATAGTTTGTGAGTATAAATGACAGTTAACTATAGTTTACAACCGAAATCTATGGTTAACGAATGTAAAACATAGTTTATCTGATAAATATAGTTTCACGATTTGTGAAACTATGATTAACAACTCTTAACTATAGTTCGCGATTGTAAATTAAAGTTTACAGATGTGAATCTATGTTTATCAACAAAATCTATTGTTAACGTTTAATTACAGACAGATAAACTTAGATTAGCATTCGTAAACTATAGTTAACAACCGTTAAATATAATTTTACAGATGAAAACTATAGTTAACGAATCGTTAACTATAGTTCACGGTTTGTAAACTATAGTTTACAGTCGATAAACCTAGTTTATCATCTGTGAAACTAAGTTTCGCTAATTTTTGTGAAATTGGCGTGCCATAGTTATATTAAGTGTGTACAATATTTGGCGGAAATTGATTTTTGAACAAGTTAGCGTAGATGTGATTTGGCGCATTTCTTAATGTTCTTATTTATGAATATATATGCAAAACATTTAGCATTGTTCTTGAATTAGCAGTAGTTTCTTTCCACCAAAGGCGCTAAAAAGAATACACAACCAAACGTAATACGTCTACATTATGCAAATGTAAAGTCCATATTTCATCAAAGAGCTGGGTACGTTAAGACCGATTTACGGCCCTGTAAAATCGGCAAAAATTAAATGCACGATTACATTCTATCAATTGTATCAATTAACTGTTAAGGTTTCCCTGTGTGTGAAATAGGAATAAATTTTTCTCAACTCACGTGCCCTTTCATTTATATAACGTTCAAAACCGGTCTAATATTCCGGAATTCCCCTATTTTGGACGTTTTCCTCCTCTTCAGGTCTATATTTCGATATGGCCGCATCCGAGTATGTATGCGAAACTTTGCAGAAAGAACAAATACACTACGACTTTTAATATTAAAGAGAAAAAATAACCTTACAAAAGTGCGGCCACATCCGTTTTTACAAAAACTTGAAGTAAAAAATGCTGCATTTTTGGATAGACGTCACCTTTTCTACACAAGAAAATCTATATTTTTAAAGAAATTAATTGTTTAATTCTATATCTGAAGGCTTCATTATTTTTTATTGTCTTTTAAATTCAATTCTGCATTTGAAAAAAATTAATTTAATACAATTATTTATGCAAATGAAAACCTTATGAACCTTTCTCAGTGAAATTTACTATGGGATGTTACATGTAAATTAGTGACGCAATGCATTGAAAAAATGACGTCACAAAGAGCAATCATGTTGAAAATATGTACTTGAAACAATTTCTTCAGTCTTCGCAACTATGATAGATATTCAATCAATATTTACAGCGTGAAAAAGTAATTTAACGACATAAGTTGGGATGGGGGGGGGGGGGGGGGGGATTGGAGCTTGACTTACATGTATAGCAGTCACCATTTGAACATTTCTTTTCAAAACTTGTTATCCTTGTCACTGTATTGTTGCAGATTTTTATTTGACAAAATTGATTATGTCAGAAAGGATTCTAGTGTTTTATCGCATAATCAGGAAGTGTTTTATATATGACAAAATACTTCTAAATCTGCCACTGCCGGCCTACATTTACTTATTGAAGGTCAGCAGCTGGGAATGGAAAAGTTCTTACATGTATTTACACTTATTAATTATATATACATTTATCATGCTGATCGGAATATTGACATCAGTGTTTTCAAGTAAAATTGGGTTTAATTTATAATTTACAAGGAATTTTAGATATGTTGACCAAGTTTATAAGGCTTAAAAAACGTATACAGTGGTGTACGCTTTCGGTATTTTCTATGAAAATTTAAGTGAAACGTGATACAATCAAACTTTTTTATTGTCTATAAATAAAGATTATCTGTTCCCATGCAGTTCTGTGAAAAATACAAACACGATCTTGCATTACTTGTGGACACGACACCCCCTTTCCGCTCCATAATCGATGGTTTACCTCGTTATTTTTTTTTTTTCGGAAATTGTTTTCCTAATACATTTTAAGGCATTCCAAGTCTTGAAATGAAAAAAAGAGAGAGAAAAAAAAGATTACTCCTTAGATATTTATCTGTATAAAAAAACGAATGTACATATTAACTACATGTACACTATTGTTAATCTTGAAGTAAGCGAGTATTTTTAAAAGGATTTTATCCAGATTATCCATAAAATAATAGTAATATATTTCATAGGAAATATGTTTAGTATTCCAATAGATGTTCATCGGGGCTGGAGGAGCGTCCTGTCCAATATCACCTCTGTGAAAACGGCGGTGCACATTATCGCTAAATTTTAAAGATTCAACGTCCGTCTGTGATGATAATCCGTTTCAGAAAAAAAACAAAAACAAATTAAAAGTATTATCGTCACTACAAGGACAAATGCACAAGGAAATGCCCCAGAGAGTTAATGTATCCAAAGGAAGTGATAAAATTATCATTGTCACCGAAATAATAATTTATCAAATACATGTATCTTACCTACGGCTGCGTAACATGTAAACATAGGGAGGAGTTCTAAAGAAAATCTTTATCTATTTTAATGCAGTTTTTGTCTTAGTAGATGACGTGATGTATCTTCTTGCAATTCATGTCAACAGTTTGTTAGGTATATTTTTAAAGATTTTTTTTATCAGACACTTACATGAAAAAGAAACATAATCAAGCTAGTGATATAATCCGGGAATGGCAAGGATAACTCTATAAAGAAGCACTGTGACGTGTTTTGCGTATTGTTCCCACAAGTAACAAAATAACATAAGATTTCATATAATTTGATAACTGAACTAGAAATAAAATCTCTATGTAGCTTATAAAAAGGGACGTGAAAGTGAATTTTGATTCTTCTATGTGAGTGTTCTGTTATTCTGCATTTCAATTACTTGTATTTTGTCTCATGTAAATAGAAGGGGGGGGGGGGCTTACTGATAATCAAATTATACATGTACTGTAATGAGTACCAATAAAAATTATATCAAGAATTTGATTTAAAACCAAATACATCCCTTTCCAGTATCATCTGGCTCCCCACTGGACTGTGACCGTTGATCGATCTTTTACTGATCGATATCAATGCAAGTGTCTGCCGTTTCATGCTGCATTGCTTTGAAGACGACATGCGCATATTTTCATAGCTGACGCGGATAAACTCTATATGCAAATCATACATATAATATTATATCCTTTTAGTTTTAGGGAATTATGCCCGTTAGAGTGTACTACAGGCTTCTGAATCCCTTCCCGAGAATTCGTGTGCATTTCCTGTCAAATTCACTACGCAGATTTAGGCATGTGTGAATCAAGTAATGAGTATGTACATGCAAAGCAATGTGTTTGTCTCTAAAATTAAATTATTAGCATTGGCTATCTAAAATATTTTGTTCATCGAAAAATCGCACACCCTTTTTAAGCCTTCGGAGATTCACGGTTTTTATTTGAAGCAAAATTTTTCAAGGTCTGTAACGCAAGTTATGATAAGGCCATTCCAAATTTTTTTTTTTTTTTTTATGTGCAATGTACGCGGACGAATTGGTTTTGAGGTTATGAAATTAAAAACAAACACAAATTAAAATTGACAAATACAAAGCTTTGAAACGCAAACACAAAGTTAACTCAAATTAAAATCAGCAAATACGAATCTCTGAAATGCATTTTACTCTTTTGGGATTGACATCTCTCTTTTTTAAGTGGTGTATTATTTTTTTTTTATTTCAATAAACTAGTAGTTTAACTAAGTTTTATGGCGAGGAGAGGTCTCAATGATAATAAGAAATTCTATAACTGTTCTGAAAATGCTGCGTTTTTCCCCTTTTGGTTTGTGTGTTTTCTCGGATAGGAAGATAGTTAGGATGGACGCTAAACAAAGAAAAAACTTGGAATGGCCTCATCAATCAGGACTCTTATAACTGGTCTCCTCTTGTGGTTTTAACGTAGAAAGTGATTGTGTGTAAGTATATTGTGGATTGTTCCTGGTTAGGGTAAAAAAAAATTAGAAAATACGAAATTAATAGCGCTGCCATTTGTTGGAATGGAAAAGGGGAGTGATGTTGATGGCTTTTTCATTGCCAAAAATCCAATTTTGACAACTTTATATGGGACGTTCCAATTTTCTTTTTAATACTGATTCATGTATCTTTAAAAATTTTAATGTAACTTCATAGACAATGCAGAAAATGATTGAAGAAATCATTAGGACATTTTTACATAAAAAAAATGATAAATCTGATACGAGCACAATTTTAAAAGAAGTACTACCTTGTCTCGTCTGTATGGATGAATCAAGCTTCATTACTTGTCTGATGAAATCGTTTGTAATAAAATTATATTTCCCTTAAATTATTTTACTCCTTCCAGCTATCAAAGATACATTACGATGAATTGAAATAAAAGTTCAAAATTGTTTTCTGGAACATAAGGCAGGTTAAAGTAAATAGTTTCCGGTTCAGAGAATTTACAGATTTCCTTTAACGTAACGATAAAATCAGTAACGCCGTGATGACGTTATCACGTCAAAATTTGTAATTTCTAAAGAAAACTCCCCATTTTTCGAGACTTCTGATGGAAAAACGGTTTGTGATAATTAAAAAAAATAAAATGATTTTGAAAGGACACATCGTAAGCATGTTTGTAAAAAACTGAAATCAAATTTGAAGACAGGGCCGCTCTGTTATACTTAACGTACCCAGTTCTTTAGTTTCTAGTATATTGAAGTCAATTTTACAAATTCAAACCTTGAAACCTTGTTTGTCTTGCACAGTCTTCAAATTCCAGCAAAATTGTTTTTTTTCCCGATTTCAAAAATTTTAATTATATATTTTTTCTTTGTGAGACTTTGATTGAACCACTTACATGTAACCTCTGAGAGCCAAGTTCTGAATAATTTGAAAAACTTTTTATTTATTTATTTATTTTTTGGAAGTATTATTTTATTTATTTATTTTGGTGGTGGTGGTGGTGGGGGGGGGGGGGGGGTAAAATCCCGAGTAAAACTTTTATTCATTGTGGTCATGCCTTGGTCAAAGGGGCAAAGATTTGAACAAATTTGAATCTACACTAAATAAGAATGCTTCCATATAAACTTTATCTCTTGTACATGTAGTCTCGCTGTTTTCTTGAGATAAATATGTTAACATTTTACCCCCTTAATTCCAAGTGAATCAATATTGTGGCCTCACCAATACCGAAGAAGCCAATTTGAACAACTGACAAGGGATAGCCATTCACTTGAAAACAAATTTAAATCCTCTTGATTTGTACCAAAGAGTTGAAATCCTAACAAAGGCTCTGAAGAAGTTTGAGATTAATTATGAAGAGTTAAAAGATGATAGATAGCCAAAATTTAATCAGAAAAATTTATTTGATCTTTTTGTTCAGGTGAACCAAGTGTAATAGAAGAGGAGAAAAATGCAACGGACCAGACCAGGATTCAAACCCAGGCCCCCTGACTGGCCTGAGTCTCCAGTCAGGTGCTCTACCAACTGAGCTATCTGGCCATTGGCAATCAAACTCATCTGACCAACACATTCCTCCCTCCCTAAAGGTCTTTGGGTCTCGAAGACACCAACCCAGGCTCTTTGCTGGCAGGTCTCTCACCTGTCACTTCCAGGGCATGGCACGGCACCAAATGTAACATGAGAGGAGAAAAGCGCAACGGACCAGACTGAGATTAAAACCCGGGCACCATGAATCTCAAGACTGGTGCTCTACCAGTTGAGCTCTCTGGCCACCAGCGATTGAACCCATCTGACTGCCACACTAGTAATATTTAATCCAACACACACACACACACACAAAAAAACCTTTAAAATTTTCAAATTGTAACTTACACTTAAACGTTGCAGACATTCTTTCTGTAAGAGCTTTAAGTGATGGCTGAAAGCTAGGTCAAAGAGACCATGAATAGTAAAGAACCAAAGTGTAGATGTCCTAGCATATCCATCCAATCTGAAACCTGGTAATAAAAAAAAATAAATTATAACAATTTATTTATAAATTGATCAGAATCATTTGTTCTTTAAAGAAGATTCTGAAACTTTAAAATTGGGAATACATGTATCAAAACAGAAATACTTTTTGAAATCGTTGCTTTTTTGGTCTGGTTTTGTTTTGATGAAATGAATATAGTTGTTAAACTTTTCAGAATTGCAACCACTTATCATAACCATTCCCCTTATAACAATACCCATGTGTACTTACCTTTCAAATTGAATTTGGCTGCCATCCCAAGCTTGCCATATTTAGTGCTAATCCTTGACATATTAGGGTTATCAGGCATGAGATCACATGCCAAAAACAATGGTGTACCTTGACTCTGAAAATTGATATCAATTTTTTTTTTTTTTTAAGAAAAGAACAATTTTTTGAAAGCTGTATATTCTAAATTTTAAATAATTATAAAAAGTAAACAAGGTTTGATGCCAGTTGATCTTCACTAAAGTATTACGAGTTTGACCAACTCATCCTAACCTGACATTAGAGCTCTGAAGCCAGGTTACAAGAAAACAGTTGACAATTACTTCATGTTTGTCATTTTGGATGAAGTTTGTTTCTTCGATGCTCAGGAGTTATGTTTTTTAAAAGATACAAAGTACTTTCAATGTAGATGTATTATCAAATTAGCCCCATACACATCTTACAGCTAATTGAGCTCAGGGGACAGAAATTTCACAATTTGGTAAACAGACATTGATGTAACAGCTCATTCCCATCAAGATTTACAGTTTTAAATAGAGAATATTATATACTAAAATCCATATCATATGACATATCAGCCCGAGTGGCACCATATCTGCCCATTGGCTGATGTGCGGCCCGAGGGTTGATACGACATATGATATGGATTTTATTGTGCGGTATCCAATTAATCATATAATTATAATATCTAATACATGTAGTTGATTCACATGAAATCATTCAAGAATTTTTTGTGTCTTTAAATCTTTTTCTTTAAAACTTGCCAATTTTAGGTCATTTTAAAACTAATTAAGTCACAAATTTTGGTACACGAATTGCATTACAATTAATATATATTTCAATAAAATCAAGTTAATTAACTTTTAAACTGTACAAAAACATATTTCTGGTTTGACATGGATTTTGCATGCCCCTCTGATACATGTATGTTATATGAGTTTTCCAACCAATAATTGATATGGAGTATTGTGACATCATCTGTATTGCACAGTGCAGAAATCAGTATATATTTACTAGTAAGTATATGATAAAAATTATTTATAAAACTACATATTTTTTTAAAATCAATCTGAATAAAATCAGATCCTTTGATCTGCTCATATTGATCGCTACACAAGGATCTTCTTGTGTAGAAGGTCCTGGGATCCCCCCCCCCCCCAACAAACCTGCATCTATTAAAAATAGGTAGCAACTGTTCATTTGCCAAGCGCTCCGCACTATTAAAGTGAAAGTTCCAGGTCTTAAGGATGAGACCTTAAAAACTGAGGAAAGAGTTGGAATTTTCACAAACCTTTACTGCTCAACAGCCCCGAGTTGATACCGTAGTTAAAGGGGCATAGACTTACATGTCATTTTGTTTACAAGGAGATGGGTGAACAAAGGGGCCTTACTTGATTATACCAGCATATTTTGCTTGTCGGAGTTCAATATCCACCAGATATGATCAATGTCACTTTTCGACATGACGACTTTTGACACCCTGACCACAAATTGACATTAACTGTGCATCTTTCATATCTCTGAATCTTTTTGGGTATTTAAAAACAAGCTGGATGCACTTTATTTTTCTGTAGCCCGTTTAAACATTCCCTAGGTCTATGCCAGTTTTTCCAGGTGCGAAACTTTATAGAATGTTTGAAAAAAAAACACTCCCCCTTTTTGATGTCATTTTCAGGCCCTTAATTGTTTGGACACTCCATGCAAAATTTTCGATAAATTTCTTTTTAGATATTACAGAATGGGGTAAAAATTGTAAATTTTTATGGAACAAATGTGTCGTGCCACACGCCTGAATTAACAGGATATTATTTTATGACAAATGCTCATATCAAAAGAGTTTTTCTCAGTTACACTCAGGTAGAAAAAAAGTCAGATTTGAGGTTGCGCCGCCTGGACATACCATTGCTTACAAAACCATTAACAATTTATTAAAAAACAAGAGGCCCATGGGCCTTGAATCGCTCTTCTGATTAACTGTACAACCTATCACTTCTATTTAAAGCCTCGAAGTATCCTGTATATTTACATAAACCCTTGAAATTCCAATTCACACTCTGAGAACCCAAGATGATTCTAAGCCAATTAGTACCTGAGAGTTGCTCATGGTGACCTACTTATCACTTGTCATTCTCTGAGGACCCATCAACTAAGTTTGATGATTCTAAGCCAATTAATACCTAAAATATTTGTTAAAATTATAATCATAAAATTTTATAAGTAGGTCAAAGTGACCTACTTTTCAATTGTTTTACTCCAAGGACCCAAGATGCATCAACTGACAAAGTTTGATGATTCTAAGCCAATTAGTACCTGTAATATTTAATTAAAGCCATAAATTTTCAAAAGTAGGTCAAAGTGACCTACTTTTCAGTTGTTGTACTCCGAGGACCCATGACGCATAAACTGACAAAGTTTTATGATTCTAAGCCAATTAGTACCCGAAATATTTTATTAAAGCCATAAATTTTCAAAAGTAGGTCACCGTGACCTACTTTTCAGTTGCTGTACTCCAAGGACCAAAGATACATCGACTGACAAAGTTTGATGATTCTAGCCAATAAGTACCCAAAATATTTAATTACAGCCATAAATTTTCAAAAGTAGGTCACAGTGACCTACTTTTCAGTCAACCTACTCCGAGGACCAAAGATGCATCAACTGACAAATTTTGACGATTCTAAGCCAAATAATTCCTGAAAATATTAAATACAGCCATAAAATTTCAAAAGTAGGTCACCGTGACCTACTTTTCAGTTGTTGTACTCCGAGGACCCAAGATGCATCAACTGACAAAGTTTTATGATTATAAGCCAATTAGTACCCGAAATATTTTATTAAAGCCATAAATTTTCCGAAAGTAGGTCACGGTGACCTACTTTTTAGTCGACCTACTCCGAAGACCCATGACGCATCAACTGATGATTCTAAGCCAATTAGTACCCGAAATATTTAATTAAAGCCATAAATTTTCAAAACTAGGTCACGGTGACCTACTTATTAGTCGATCTACTCTGAAGACCCAAGATGCATCAACTGACAAAGTTTGATGATTCTAAGCCAATTAGTACCAGAAATATTTAATTAACGCCATAAATTTTCAAAAGTAGGTCACTGTGACCTACTTTTTAGTTGACCTTCCCTGAAGACCCAAGATGCATCAACTGACAAAGTTTGATGATTCTAAGCCAATTAGTACCTGAAATATTTAATTATAGTCATATAAATTGAAAAGTAGGTCACGGTGACCTACTTTTTAGTTGACCTTTTTAGAGGACCCAAGATGCATCAACTTACAAAGTTTTATGATCATAGGACTTAAAATGTCCAAATTATGCCTCTAAAATGCTTTGAAATCGAATGCCTGCAAAGTTCAAAAAGTAGGTCACTGTGACCTACTTTTTAATAATTATGTTTTTTGGCCCCAAGATGCATCATCTTACAAGATTTAATGATTCTAAGCCTCCCCGTATTCGAATTAATGACCTTAATTGTTTCAAAAAAGATTAAATTCAAAAAGTAGGTCAAGGTGACCTACTTTTTAGTTGACGTACTTTGAGGACCCAAGATGCATCAACTGACAAAGTTTGATGATCATAGGCCTTAAATTGTTCAAAATATGCCTCTAAATCATTTTGAAAAAGAATGGCTGCAAAATTTAAAAAGTAGGTCACCGTGACCTACTTTTGAGTCAACATGATATGAGGTCCTTAGATGCACCAACTGACAAGATTTGATGATCCTAGTCCTTATAGTAAGCAAAATATCAACATTTTAATAAAATGTAATTTTTGGTCAACTTTGAAGTGACCTTGAGACCACGCCCTTTGCCCCAGGGTAAATCCCCGTGCAAATTTTAATCTACAACATATCCTCATCCTTTTGTGTAAGTTTGGTGATAATCTGCCCAGTGGTTCTTGAGAAGAAGATTTTTTAGCAACCAGTACTTTTGTTTCTATTTTCCTAATTATCTCCCCTTGTTAAAGGGTCACAACCCCAGTTTTAGTATAAACGGGAGCCCTTGGGCCAAGGATACCCTGTGACAAATTTGACAATAATTGGCCAAGGGGTTCTTGAGTTATGGCCCATATTCTAAAAAGTTTACGCACACCGCACAAATGGCCATAGCATTAGCTCTTTGAGCCTTTGGCTCAGAAGAGCTAATAAAACTTATGATTTATGGTTTATTCTATAGATAGAAAAGATGATGCTTACTAAATGTATTAAATTTCATTGATGTACCTAAATCGGTTTTAATTTTAAGGCGCTAGTCCACGAACTTTTTGATAACCCCTCGTATATACAAAATAATATAACAAGAGGCCCATGGGCTACATCGCTCACCTGAGCACCTTGGCTAGGAAAAAGCACAAATCAGTTCAGTATTGAAAAGTTTACATTTGGGAGGGATTTGGATTTTAAACTACCAGAGGATGCTTCCATATTAATATAACAAATGGCTTTGCTGTTCTTCAGCAGAAGATTTTTCCTATATATTCCTTTGTAAAAATTTGATCCCCAGTTGTGGCCCATCCCTATACCCAGGGGTCATCATTTGAAAAAAGTTGAATCTACACTATCTGAGGACACTTCCATATCAAAAAGACTAAACATGGCTTTTCTGTTCTTTAGAAGATTTTTTCCTATATATTCCTTTGCAAAAATTTGATCCCCCAATGTTGCCCCATCCTTATCCCCAGGGGTCATCATTTGAAACAAGTTGAATCTACACTACCTGAGGATGCTTCCTTATCAAAAAGACTAAACATGGCTTTTCTGTTCTTTAGAAGAAGAATTTTCCAGTTTTTTCCCCATATATTCCTCATATCAATATGACTAAACATAGCTTTGCTGTTCTTGAGAAGAAGATTTTTAAAGATTTTTTTTCTATATATTTCTATGTAAAACTTTGATCCACCATTGTGGCTCCACCCTTCTCCCGGGCATCATGATTTGAACAAACTTGAATCTACACTACCTGAGGATGCTTCCATATCAATATGACTAATCATGGCTTTGCTGTTCTTGAGAAGATTTTTTTTTTTATATATTCTTATGTAAAAATTTGATCCCTCATTGTGGCCCCACCCTACCCCCAAAGGCCAACTTTTCTGGCCTAGAGATTCTTGAGAAAAAGATTTTTAAAACATGTCACCAAATTTTCACTATTTCTGAATTATCTCCCCTAGAATGAGGGTTTGAACCTTCATTTAAAAAAACTTGAATCCTCTTTACCCAAGGATGCTTTGTGGCAAGTTTGGTTGAAATTGGTGCAACGGTTCTGGAGAAGAAGTCAAAAATGTGAAAAGTTTACTGACTGACTACAGACAAAATGTGATCAGAAAAACTCACTTGAGCTAAAAGAGATCAGGTAGCAGGGTTCTCCATAAGAGCCAGCAACCCACGATTTCTCGCATCCTTCCTGGGGCAAATTTGATGCCTATATTTGGAATCTATATAGGCATCGAATTTGCCACATGTAAGGGACAAGAAACCGCATGTTGCTGGCTCTTAGAGAACCCTGCTACCTGATCTTTTTTTTAGTAAATAAATTTTTCATCTTTTTTTTGTACATATAGTCTGTATTACTTTTTAGGTTCTATACATCCAGAGTTGTTAGAATTTTCAAATCACTGTCTGACATTTGGTCTGACAATATATATAGTTAAAGATTTTGTCAAACCATATATACTTGTCACTCCAGATACATGTATCTTATTTTGTACAGAAATGCACCAAAATGCCTTTTATTGTTTTCCACAAAATTTCAGCTCACAGTTTTGTTTTCTTACTTATAAACAGTCTTTGTATTGGCAATGTAGCAAAATAATCAGGGGCAATCATACACCAAGAACAATCCTGATCTCGAGTTCTGCATGTAAACTGTGATGGTGTGTAAACTTGAAGCAAGAAAAAAAAAGGTTGAAAGAATGTATTGATTTTTTTCTTCAGATGGATTTATTTTAGTGTAGAAGATATAAACAAGTTCAAAATGTTGTGTTATGTGTTTTATCTTCAATGCAAGTGCATCATTGAATTTTTTATTTTCTCCAGAATCATTTCTGAGCGACTCTGCAATTTTCAGCTACATTGTGGACATAAGACGCATTCTAACTGTGGTGAGGGTCTGTCCAAAGACACAGTTAGATCATTCTAACTAAACATAATGCAGATTCTAAATTGTTTATATCAGTATCTGTCTCTAATTGTTCAAATCATGGCTAGATCAAAGAATCTTATTTTAATCAGATTGAAAAATGAATTGAGTTTTTTTTATTTACATTTTCCAAAGAGTCTGGAATACAAATTACGTTTCCGATAAGAAGGGTCATGAATCTTATGCGGTATGGTCCCAGATGAAGAATATTACATGCAACTTTGGGTTTGTATGTGCTCTTGTCCTCCATGTTGAGTGCTCCTATTTACCCAAATGGACCATCAAAACCCCAAAAGAAGTTCAATACCACATATATATATATATATCATAGAAGTTATTATATAAACTATATATTGTATGTAATCACACATTCAAAATTATACTATTCACTAGGTATATAAGCATTTACGTATCTAGCTCGTGCTTTCAATTTTTTTCTGCTTACATTGGGATGAATGTGAACCCCTCAAAGACCTTTAAATGAAAATTATTTTAAGAAAATTCTTAAGCGTTGTCATTAGAAAATACATGATTAACAATAACAAAATATAGATTATTTTGCTCTTCTTTTTCCCCCAAGAGATTGCGTTCATTCAGCACAATCAGGACATTATGCTTTTAATTGTCAACTTCCGGTTGGAAAAATGGAAGAAGACGTGTTTACTAGTGTTTCAGAATTATTCGACGAATTCGAGAAGAATAGAAATTCGTCAACTTTCATTTCATTTGACTGCAAGAATGACGGACGTGAGGACAAAAGTAAAATCCTCTTTACAACCGAGGGGACCGATGGCGATGGAGAATTAACTGATGAAAGTGAAAATGAAAGTAACTATACAAGTAGATTGAAGGAACACGGCACGACAGATGACGATTCGTCGGAAAACGACGATTCACTGATTATTCCAGAGAGATTTTTCAATGAATCTGAAGCCAAGATTAACAAAACTGGCGATACGAGTTATAAATTGATCCATGAAAGTATCCTATATGAATGACGAACAGAGACACTTCACAATGTATACATTGTAACACTGTTAACACTCAGTATTTTTCTTTTTTTTTACCAATAATATTTCAGGGACATAAGTAACAGAGATTCACAACTCTGCCATTCATATATTATATACTAAAGTATGTAATGTTCCCAGCATTATCCTAAAAAATACTCTTTATTGGCTTTGTATTTTAATCTAAAGAAAATTTAAATAAATTTTATTATGGTTATATGATTTGAAAAATTTTAAAACTATATATTGCTAATTATTAATGAACTAGGAAAACGAAAGAGATCAATGATCGAAAGTTGGTGAAATTTCTGAGATATGGCTAACCATGAGTCACCCGTTGCAAGGGCTGGGTATCGACTGGGAATTTTGTATTGTGATATCCTGCGATATTTTTAACTGTATTGCGATATGTATTGCAATATTTTCAATAACAGTTAAAATGACCTTTTCTTATTTAATTAACCTTCATTTATAAGCAGAGTGTATATCTTTATTATAAAGATGTTGTAACAAGAAAGTTCTTGTTGATTTCACTAGTTTTGCAACGAAATGCAACCAAACAACAGCAGCCTTACTGTTTGACATGATTGCAAAAGTTTCTGACATCTTAAATTTCATATTTTACTTTAGAAATCTCCAAAAGCCCAAGCATTTTGCCTGTATATTGGTAAACATATCGCAATACAATATTTTTTGTCGATCAGCAAATCGCAATTTACTTGAATGTCGATATTATTGCGCAGCCCTACCTCTTGGTATGTCAGATTTCTTCTGGTATTTAAAGAAAGAAACTTGTAAAATAAAACATTCTGAATAGTTAATTAGTAAAAGTTTAAAGGTTTCACTTGGTTATCATTGATAATTTTAAAGATTTATGACAAGATACTGATTTAAATTGTGCAAGATTTAAGAAAAGTAAACAAGAGGGACCACAAGATTTTGTTGCAAATCTCTGTTCTTTATGTCTCTGAATATATGAATATATATATATATGAAAATACTCAGGGAAAGATACTGGGATTAATATTTCATTTAGTTTTCCTTAATATAGTTACAGGAAATAAATTCAAAAAATTTGCAAATATAGTTGATTCTACTAGGTAAGTTCAAGTAAGACAAAAATTCAAATTCAAATGAGGCAATTGTGTTTTAGCATGCGTTTGTTTTCTTGTGTTTTAATGCAGCTGTACTCCAAGTAAAATAATAGGTTCAACATTATTATTGTTGGAGTAAACACAGCTGCCGAGCAGTATTTGTTGAAGTGTTTTAAAACGTATAAGCACCTTTCTTCATAATTATATTTATTGATGAACCCAGTCTTCACATCTGTTTTTCAAGTACATGTAGCTTTCTTCACCAATTACTTTGTTGAGTGTTCTCTGTTTTTACAGATATGTTCATGATGAGGAAAGCCCGGGGTGTCAAATAATATTTCACAACAACAGATTTTCAAGGCAAGATATCTAAGACTCATAAAATGTATCAGTTTGCAAACTATCCAGGCCTTGGAGATAAAGTGAGAAGAAAGTATTCCTTTGTTTTCTTTTTATCTTTACAGAAAATACCGTCCTGAGATTGAGAATTTTATAGCGCGACTGATGGAGAGGGATGCTCGTGATTCGGAAGTTCTGCCTGATCTAAAATTGAAGGTAAAATATGCAGAGATGAGTGTGAATTTATGTGTTACTTAAATATTTAAATTTTGCCGATGCAGGGTTCTCCATAGGCCCCGCCACAGTTAAATTCCTTAGCGCCACCGTTAAAAAATCAGCGCCATAGTTCTGCCACAGTTAAAATATTAGCGCAACAGTAAGATTGTCATCGTCAGTAAGATAAATATATAGATTTATAAACCAAACGAACACTCCAAATTATGTACCGTTTTTCAGTTTCTAATGCTAAACCGTTATTTACTCTAATTAGGGCCCATTGTTTGGCTTGCACAAGCAATTATCTTCTAGACGTCGCTGGACACTTGAATGAAAAGAGACAAGTCATTTTTTTCCACACTTCACGATAATTGCAAATGAAAATTTTTAATATTAATGAGTTCATGCTTTAATAGTTCTACAGATAACCACGTCTCTAAAATTGCATTGGCACTGCGAGTCAAACATCGTATGTGTATTGTAATCGTGTATTTTTGCAATGTGAAAAATTAACGATAGATCCACCAAAATATTATTTTATGACATTATAATTGCAAATATATGTAGATGTAAGCGAGATTGTGTGACTTGCCAGAATTTCCTCTGTCCTTTAATGAACACTATAATTTACCTTTTGTAAACAAAATTATTTTTTCTTTAAATAGGGTTTAATGCTTAAAATGTGATGTTACTGGTACTTTTACTTTTCAGATTCTATAAGCTTATATTTTATTTATAAGTGCGAGTTTTTTCTTTTGTGTGTGTGGTTTTTTTTTAGGGGGGGTCTTTTTCACAATGTGCATATATTTTGGAAACATCCTATTTTTTGTTTTACACTATGTTTAATCGATATCGATTAATTGTTTTTATTATTAAATTTATTAATCAATTTGCCGAATAAAAAATGTCATTTGTGTATTAAACAATTGATTCATTGGGGTTGTGTGTTTTTCAATTTATTTTGTGGTTCCTTCGTGAATTCTGTTGCGAAAATGACTGCGAATATTAGCACTTTGCGTAAGTCTTGCACCACATTTAAATTTGAAATGATGGAGAACCCTGCCGATGGATTACTAATGTCCTTGCCTTAATATATCAATGTTTAAAAATTTCACTACATCTTTTTTCAAATGCACAAACTCTCAGTAAGACTGAGACAATTGAATGGGATACTTTACCATGGATAATAATGCAGCAGTGATTATAGCATTATATCCTGTGAGTAATGTCACAACATGAAATAAGAGTTGAGTAAGTACCGGTTGATGTATTTTTGTCATTATTTATCCTTTCTCTGATTTGTTTTCAGGCATCAACTCCGTCCTGTGTTGATATCAATGAAAAGTTAGATGCAACAATGAGAACATCTGAAATGTGGGAGGCTCATGCAGTAAGTTTGATTCTTGACCCCATAAATACTTCTTAAGTACTTTATATCAGGTTATTTTGGTGTCGGAAATATTTGGCGAATTTGATATTAAAAAGGACTCTTTTGGTGTTAAAATGTGTGATGATAAATTTTTAAACTGTTTCAGAAGAAAGACTTCTGTACAGTTCAATATAATTATAGTATTATATAAGAAATCAATATTGTACAGGACGACAGTTATGAAATTCTGCTTCAATCAAAGCTTAAAAATAGTTCTATTGCAAATGTGAACAACAGAAGTATGTAAATGTTATTTTTTTCTCTCACTGAAATAGTAAATTACAATTTTGCAACAAAAATTTCCGACTCCAAAGTTGCAGCTCATATATTGCTTTAATGTTCTTTATTTCACCAAAAAGAATTACTTCCAACTTCTTGGACACATTTATTATCAATGTCAAAATCAATTCGGATCCATAATTGTATCAACAGTGTTACATATGGTAATGTCATCTTTCCAAAAGTGGTGATCGAAGTACTAAGTAATAAGTAGAAACCAAAAATGGATACTGATTCACAGAACTGCACAATTTATAAATGTCACCAATCACCATTCATAAAATTTTTGTGTTTATATGAATTTAATGTAACATAGTTAATGAACCTGAAAAGCTTGAATCAAATCTGTTAGGCAATATGGAGAATATCAATGAAAAACATTAATCCAAGAGAGTCAGGAGTTGGCAGACTTGCTAGATTTACTGCCTGCCAAATAAATGGTCAGATCATCTCAAAAGATACCTGATTTACTCAAGTATAACCTATAAATGTATTAGTGTTGTTTTGATCATTGTCATCTGATTTGCATCATTTGTCCTGAAAAACCTGTTTATAAATTTATAATTTAGTAAATTTAGTGGTCAATCCTGAAATGATAAAGGGCCCTCTACACAGTGGACACTTAAAGTTTTCCAATTCCATGGTACTTTTTAGTTATGCTTTATAGTGATGATCTGCAGTTTGATTTGAAATTGAATAAACTGAAATCTGCAGTGTTATACAGCGATTGAAATAAAATAAAATATTCTTTACATTAAATTAGACCAAGATGAATTAATTGGACACTTTATTTGCATGATTCTATGTTTCTCATTTAAGTGCTCAGTCAAACTTTAACAGACATCAAACAGATTGCAACTTTTTCGATTTATTTGTCTCCATTATCATACGTTTCTAGTCTGTTTCTTAATTGTTGAATATGTTCAGTGTCTGGGGAAGTAAATTTTATCTGTTAGGAAGTCCGATAAGGTATGACTGAGCCCTTAGTACACAACAAGGATTTCTATTCATCAGTACATTTTTACTGGGGGAAATTAACAGGAACCCTTTGTTGAAATGGATCAAGTAATTATATACAGTCAAACCTCATTATCTCGAACTCGAAGGGACTATAGAAAATACTTTGAGATATCCGAGGATTCGAGATATCCAGGGTAAAATACTGAAAGAATAAGCAGCTGGGACTTCAAAATGACCTCGACATATCCATGGTAATCGAGATATCCGTGTTCGAGATACCGAAGTTCAACTATATATCTTTTTACATTTTAAAGTTCATTACATTTTTTCTTAGTGTATAGAGGGTCCTTAATAACAGAATACATTAAGTGTTTTGTATGCGTCAGTTTTGTAACTTAAAGATGCTACATGTATATGCTAGATTTGGTTAGATTTAATTGGCTTAGTTCAAGTTCAAAATTTGAAAAAATTACCAGACAAGTGGATGATTTATGAACCTCAATATAAAAGTCACTTGAACTTTTGGCTGAAATCAGCTAAAAAGAAAATTTAAAAAAAAAAAATGTTTAAATCATGGAAATTAAATTTTACTAGTCAGTTTTGTATGATTGTAGATTATCGGTGCTGATCAGTTTTACAGAGAGTGCATTGTAGACAAAATGGGTTTCCCGCTGACAGGAAATGACACAGCTCTGACGTATGGCTGGGTGGTGCCTGTGTATCCTTTTGATTACCAAGTACATTAAAACACAGTAATAGCAAAGAGTGATTTTCATTCCCTGTAGTCTAAAGGCATTTACTGAACTTATCAGATATGACAAATTACATTTATAACAAATCAGAAATGACTAGGGATGGCAATTGAATACAGATTTTCTAATCGTTAACCGCAAGACATTCCAATCGATTAACTGGTTAATTGTATCAGAATACACATTTTTGACATTTTCTTCAAGTAGTACTATTCATATACAAGAATGCTTAAAGAGACAATAGAAGATAGAGACATTCTGTTATACCTGAGTAGAAAACTACATGTATTTCAGCTTGTCAATAGACAAGAAAAAAAGAAAACCCTGAAATATGCCTGAGAAATCAGACATTGAAAATTTTCCAGAACAAATGTCATATTAGTTCATTCTGCATTGTCACCATAATCAGAATTAACTCTGAAGTATCACATAATTTACAATATTTGTTAAATGATATAATTTAATAGATAACGCCAAAAGATACACATACCAATTTTATACCTATGAGATGTAATGTCTCTGGTTCAAATAAAACAAAACAAAAAAAATTCACATTGCTCAACAGTGATTTAATTAATATATCATCAAATAATTACAGGACAGTCAAGGGGTAACGACATGGTGTTTAAACAGAAATTAACACTTCACAAACTGACCAATTACTCCACTATCTCAATTCAGAGAGCCATAATTACCTCCAAATCAGCTTAAATAGATATATGAAAACACTAAATTATCAACATTTATGCTGAGGTTTCTTTTTTTAAAAAATGAATTTAAGAAACTTGCCTTCAAATTTCCTTATATTTAATTTTTTTTTGGACTAACCGATTATAGATTTTGTAACGGATAACCATTGTGTCGACCAAGTAATTGGTTAACCGGTTTCAAATCGACATCCCTAGAATTGACACTTTGCTTTAAACCTGTTTTACTGGTATTTACAATATGAACCTAATGTGTATGAACACGCAGCTGGTGAAGCAGCAAGACTGTAGTCACTGTGGTAATACAAGAGCAATGATTAAGATAAAGGCATAATTCTCAATAACAACTGTCATTAAGATTCATTAATTTGCAATGTTTATGTAGACAAGGTTTAAAAAAGTTTTGAATAATCTGTAGGGATGAAAAGAACATTAAATTTTCTTTAATTATTATTAGATATGAACAAATTTTCCTGGATGCCTTGCCAGCAGATGAAAAACCTTCAAAACCTGAAAAGTATGTAAACCTTTAGTTACTAAATCGGAGCACATCCAAACTTAAATCTCAGTTACTGGTAACCTTTTATGATCAGAGTTTGTGTGCAGTCAGCATGTTGTATCTGAGTAGACTTCACAAGATCTAAGGTTTGAAATAACTGGTAGACCGGTGGCCAAAATCTATCACAAAAAAGTAGAAAAATTTAGAAAGTCTGTCAGCTGTATTGAAAACAGTGGACTGCCTATTCAGTCATATTCTTTTGATAAAAAAAAATGAATAAAAAACTTAAAATTATTGTATTTCTTGATGTGTGTCTGAAAGAACTGAAATGTTTGTGATCCAACATTATAAAGTAAACACTGTTATATTGTCCATCACTTGTTACTTGGTGACAAAGGGAAGTAAAGAAAAATAAATGTTATCTTGATAGTCTTGTGTGCAGAGAAATCCTGACTTATTTTCTCAGCAAAATGACTCGGCAATTATTTATGAAATTTGAGATTTAAAGAAAATAGTTAAGTACAGTAAGCTCACCTGAGCCATAGACTCAAGCAAGCTTTCCTGATCAAATATGTGTGTCCATTGTTTCATCTGTGAAAAGTCTTTTGTAGTCTCTAAACTTTTACATTTTTTACCTTTCAAGTATCACGTCCATTTTCAAGAAAAGTTGGTATAAATTATTCTTGTTTGAAGGAGATTAAACATTTAGCTTGTCAATTGTAGGGCCAAATCCTTTTTCAAGGGAAGATCATTAAATGCAGAGAATAGTGTGGGATAATTCAAAAATAATTCTCTTCGTCAAAACTTCTGGGTCAGAAAACACCTACATGAAAGCTTCTTTAATGAATGTAGATTAAAATTCGTTAAAATGGGGCTAGGATGGAGCACATCAGAAGGTCAAAGAACAGCAGGTCAAGGTTACACTTGTGTGCCTTTTAGCCTGTGAGCCTCTTGGTTTAGAGCAAGTTTGCCCTTTTTTGAAATTTTGGCAATTCTGAAAGAAACCTTAAAAAAAAAAAATGGTGTCCAGCTATATTCATTTTTATGCCCCGCCATGAATATGGCCGGGGAATATAGTGTTTGTCATGTCCGTCTTCTGTCCTTCCGTCTGTCTTTCCGTCACGCTTTAATGCATTTAGCTCTGTTCAAAGCTCAGTTTCAAAGAAACTATCCAAGATATTTTATCAAACTGCATATGCTGATAAATACTAATGAGAGCTATGCAACTGCATCAACATTTTTTGGCCTTGACCTTTCCTTTGACTTTGACCTCACTTTTCTTAAATTAGTGTTTAGCTCAGTTTTAAAGATACCATTCAAGATAGTGTAATCAAACTTCATATGTTGATACATACTGATGTAAGCTATTCAACTGCATCAACATTTTTTGACCTTGACCTTTCCTTTCACCTTGACCTCACTTTTCTTAAATTAGTGTTTAGCTCAGTTTTAAAGATACCATTCAAGATAGTGTAATCAAACTTCATATGTTGATACATACTGATGTAAGCTATTCAACTGCATCAACATTTTTTGACATTGACCTTGACCTCACTTTTCTTAAATTAGTGTTTAGCTCAGTTTTAATGAAATCATTCAAGATATTTTTTATCAAACTACATATGCTGATACATACTGATGTAAACTATTCAACTGCATTAATATTTTTTCCTTGACCTTTCCTTTGACCTTGACCTTCTTTTCTTAAATTAGTGTTTTGCTCAGTTTTAAAGAAACCATTCAATATAGTGTTATCAAACTTCATATGCTGTTACATACTGATGAGAGCTATTCAACTGCATCAACATTTTTTGACCTTGACCTTTCCTTTGACCATAACCTCACTTTTCTTATATTAGTGTCAAACTTCATATGTTGATACAAACTGATGTAAGCTATTCAACTGCATCAATATTTTTGACCTTGACCTTTCCTTTGACCTTGACCTTTTTTTTCTTAATTTGTGTTTAACTAAGTTTTAAAGAAGTCATTCATAATATTTTTATCAAACTTCATATGCAAATACATACTGATGTAACCTTTCCAACTGCATCAACCTTTTTTTGACTTTGACCTTTCCTTTAACCTTAACTTCATTTATTTTAAATTAGTGTTTAGCTTAGTTTTAAATAAACCATTCAAAATATTTTTATCAAACTAATGCCCTGTTCACACGGAGAGTTTAATTCGAATTAAACGTAAGTTACTGCGAATTAAATTTGATCTGCGTTCACACAGAGAATTTAATGCGAATTAGTTTAATTCGAATTAGTTTACTGTGCATTAAATTACTTCGCATTAGCTCCGTGTGAACGCTAAGCGAAGCTAATTCGAATTAAATTTTGACGCATGCGTAAGGGCAGATTTAAGTCATAGATCATATGTCGATGGTCAAATATAGGTACTTGTGCTATTTTTGAGTGGAAAACAAAGGAAAATTATTTTAATCACTTAAATGTATACAGACACTATGACATTATGTCAAATGTATCTGCTCTGCACAATATGACGTGATTTGTAAATGACGTCATAATAGCCTTACTGAATAGCCTTGTTGTAGAAGTAAAATTATAATTCGCATTAGTTTACTTCGCATTAGCTGTCGTGTGAATGCAATTTAATTCGCATTAGTTTAATTCGCATCATTTTACTTTGCATTAATTTACTGCAAATTAAACTCTCCATGTGAACAGGGCATTAATATGCTGATACATTTTTGTGAGAACTATTCAACTGCATCAAAAACCTTTCCTGTGACCTTGTCCTCACTTTTCTTTAATTTGCATTTTGCTTAATTTAAAGAAACCATTCAAGATATATTTATGTAAGCTTATGCACTTATACATAATTTGTTGAGAATTTATCATCTATATCCAACTTTTTAAATTTCAATTTCAATTTTAAAGAAAAAATTCAAGATATTCTCATCAAATTTCATACACTAATGCAAATTTTCATTTTGCATTACTAATATACCCTCTGCGGGGCATTCATGTTCTATGGACAAATTTCTAGTCTTAATTAAAATAAACATTCAATAGTAAATGGTCACTGAAAGGTAAAGTATGAAATTCTTCTTTGGGTTGAATAATCATAAGGAACAGAGAACTTGCTTACTTGCAAGATGGTGTTTAGACATCATGTTCTAGGGATTCTATGTAGATAGGTATTGACAAAGGTCTTTAGTTTTTCCTTGTTGGCATCATACTGTGGTAGTGTTTGAAACACAGCTGTCTACTAGCTTTGCCTAGGGGGTTAACCTTTATGCTCATTGACAGAGCACTGGACTGGCATACCAGAGGTCCTGAGTTCAGTCCCAAGTCTCCCAATGAAGGCAAATACATGTCTCTATTGAAATACAATAAGACTACCTTGACATTACTATTTAAAGATTTTAATAATTAATTTTTTTTTTCAATTGTATGAAAGCTATTCTTGCTTTTCCAATCATGACCCTGACATATGCTTCTGTTCCTCCCCTACTGGTCAACATTACCTTAGCATATGAAGATCTTTTCTTCTAAGGGTATTTTCAAACAACAAAATATGCAAATTTTTGATTTGGCAATGAAATTAAACAGAGCAGCATAAGGAACATGTATATAACACACAGCTGGCTCAAGTATAGAAGCATTCATCGTATTTCAAAATGATTTAGACACTTGGTTGACCATCAAGGCCCATGGGCCTGTTGCTTATAATTACAGTTTGTGAGAAATAGGAAAATCCTGAAGAATACAATGATTTTTAAAAAAAAATTAAATCTGTTAGAAATGTATCTTTTGAACATAAATATTAGTCTGTTATTAGTAGTACTTTCCCTAAGTTTTAAATTTTACAGGACTAAGCAGAGTTGCTTTAATTGTGGTGGTGATCACAGAATTAATGAGTGTACAGAACCCAAGGACTTCAGAAGAATCCGGGAAAACAAGAACAAATTCATTCAGCAATCACAGATGCAAAAGCAATCGTATGGATCATAGGATTCAAAATTTTCCTTCATTAGGGCCCTGCTTTGCTGGTGCCTTATAAGTGATCAGTCTGTCCATCCATCCATCTAGTATCCATCCAATTTCATTTGTCCATAGCATACTGTATGTGTACTTAAAAAAGCGGGCTTCATTTTTTAGCAGCTTTGGCGCAGACAACAATGCGCTAATTTATGAATACCGCTAAGAAATCTATATACAATATATGGCACGCACATGTGTAGCGCTAATTCATGATTACACCAACAACTCCATACCCAGAGACTGCGCTAAATTTTGAATACACCAATTTATGTACACGTACAGTATTTTTTCTTCCCTTGGCCCAGTTGAGCTCTTGACTTCTTCCATAGAGTGCCCATGGGTATTACATAGAGGGTATGCAGTGACCTTGAACCAATTTTCTAGATGATGGGTCAAGGTCCGAAAATCTCTTTGAGTAAAATCCTTGTATTTAGTATATTTTTTCTTCTCTTGGCTCCACCTGGCTTAAATTTCACCCATACAATGCCCATGGGTTGAGAGTTTGCAGTATCCTTTAGCCAAGTTTCTAGTTTAGGGGTCAAGGGTTTTGGCAAATCTCTGTAAAATTCTTTTTTTTGAGCATTTTTTCTCCCATTGGTCCCATCTGTCTCAAACTTTACCTGAAGAGTGCCTTTATATAATGGGTCTCCTAATGTCCTTTGCCAAAAGTGGGGCCCTTTGAGATGCAGTCAATTAGTTGTTTAATGGTATTTAAATATATTTCATTTGTTTAATTAAAGGATAAGGGTTACAATATATGTATGTAGGAGGGAGAAAGAGTGTAAGTGATGGAATGAATTAAATGATGTGTCATCTAAAATGATATTGTGTAACATTCCTACTATCTTCTAGAAAGATCTCAAAGTAAACTATAATTTAATTTACCTTGTGTTTGTATTATTTTGAATTGTATGGTAACAGGTCACAAAGATACCATGCAGAAGAAGAGATGGATCCAAGATTTGCTTCATTTAAGCCTGGTGTCATTAGGTAATGGAAAATTAAACCACTGTGTACTCCAATCAAGATGATAAAGAGTTTTTGTATTATCATAAAATCTACTTACTGTTGGTATTTGTGATCTATACTGTTGGTTTTACAGTCCTGAATTACGCAGAGCATTAGAGATCTCTTCAAAAGAGCTACCTATTTACATATATCGCATGAGAGATCTTGGGTACCCTCCAGGCTGGATGCAAGAGGCTTTGTTGCAAGATTCAGGGATATCTATTTTTGACAAAGATGGAAATGGCTAGTTTATTTTCATTTATACTGATCAGTTTCTGGAAATGGATCAATTGCTTTAAATTTTTAGATTGGTAAAAGTTAATGTAAAACAAATAGCTTGATTTTCTTGAAAAAAAAATTAAATATCAACTATTTTTGGCATCAGAGAATTATTTGCTTTGGGTACATACTGTTTCTTTGATTTTTTAAGGTGATACTTTAAATTATTACATTGCAGAAGTGTTAGTAACAGGAGAAATGATGGAAGATGGTGAAATAAAGGATCGTATCCCAAATGAAGGTAGGAATCATGAGACCTGTACTTTTGTATTTGATGTACAGAGCTGTAATTGCAACAAAAAATGCCTACCAATTTAAGAGTACTTTTTGAATGTTGTTAAAATGGATTGTTTTTATACTCCTCCTTGCAGACTTTGGGAATATGGTTTAGTATGAATTGATTAGTCAGTAGTTCAATGGTTTCTAACCAATATCTTTGGGACCATGTGACGGTACATATTGTCGTTTTGTACATATTGTCGGCGGCGACAATATGTACCTACCCTCACTGCACATATTGTCGTCCATCAGTACATATTGTCGACGGCGACAATATGAACCGAGACGAGCCTTATTTTCCTCCTGCATAATGGACGACAAAATATACAGTCAAGCACAAGCACATATTGTCGTCGGCGACAATATGTACAGTCAAGGTCCGCATACATTGTCGTCGATATATTGTTTTGCTGAATATTTACTTGAGAAAAGAAAGAGAGATTGACAAACACACACATACGCATGGAGGGAGACAGACAGCATTACTCACAATACTGTAGGGAGAAAACTTTTTGGTCAGAAAATTGTGTCCAGGATTGATGTACATCACTATGACATTATATAAATAGTGCACGTTTTTGAGGGTAACAGTTGAAATTGACACCCCAAGGAAAACCATTGTGAACCGACGCGTCAGCGGAGGTTGACAATGGTTTCCGAGGGGTGTCAATTTCAACTGTTACCCTCAAAAACGTGCACTATTTATTTCATTATACTGAATGTCTTTGTTATTGATTTCGGATGTCATAAAAAAAAAAATTCGGAGATCGTCGTTAAGTTCACGCTTAGAAAGCTTTCAAACTGCCTGCGTCTATTTTTCTCAATAAGAAAGCTTCGGAAAAGATTTACCAACCTCTTTATTGTTTGTTTGCTACTTAAAAAGTCCTTTATCATCTAAAGTTAGCACTCGCAAGGATGTTTCGTCTGTTGTTTGTTGTTTTCAAGTAAGCTACATCGGACGCAAGCTTTCATTGACGTCGTTTATTCGGCTTCTTTCAAACGCACAACCAACGTTTTGAGAATTCTACGGTGAACCGTACGCGCATGATTTGAACGCATGTGATATTTTCGTAATGTTACCCGTTGTCAAGTGGGTTGCTAACGCTGAGGGTAACATTACGGATTGTTAAATGCATCTAAACCAATCAGATTTTAGTATTTAACATGAAAGTATAATAAATATAGATACCGTAATTCTTGACATATCTGATAAACCAGCTATTCTTTTTTTCTTGAAACATATTCTTGGAGATTGAATACAGCTATGTTTTTTTCTGTTCAGTAGTAATGATTATTTGGAAATTATTTTTTTGCATTATTCTTATATGCGATCATGTGCCGATAAAATATTATAAATATAATTTATTGTTAATAATAATATAAGAATGACGCAAAAAATAACATTTTTAGATCACCTGAACTGGTTAGTTCAAGTGAGCTTTACTGATCACATTTTGTCTGACCGTCAGTCTGTCTGTAAACTATTCATAATTTTAGCTTCTTCTCAAAAACTATTGGGTTAATTTCAACCAAACTTGCCACACTTGCATCTGTGGATAAAGGGGATTCAAGTTTGTTCAAATGAAGAGCAATGCCCTCTTTCAAGGGAAGTAGTGAAGAATAAGTGAAAAGTTAGTGACTTCTAAAAATCTTCTCAACATCCACTGTGTCAGAAAAGTTTAAACTTGTGAGAAAGCTTCATTAAAAATGTAGGCTAGATTCAGTTTTATTCAGATCATGTCCCTCGGGGGATAGGTGTGGCTACAATTGATGATGTAAGTTTTTCATAGAATATTTGGAAAAAAAAAATCTTTCAAAATCTTCTTTACAAGAACTACTGGGACAGAGGGTATGATACTTATGTGAAAGCTTCATAGCGTACATTCAATTTTGAAGTGTTGGCACAAAAAAGATCCCTCACTGCTCAATGATCCTGAGTGCCAAGTATAGGTCTAAATTTGCATCCCTCCACCGGAAAGTGGTGATCTCTCAATATGAATGAAAAATTCTTGAGAGGGACATTTTAACAACAAACAAACAAACAAAAACAAAATCAATTCTGTTCAAGTCATGACCCCAGGAGTAATGTGGGGCCACAATGGGTGATCAAAGTTCTACATAGGAATATATACAGAAAATCTTTAAAAATCAAACACCAAAGACAGATGTAGCACCCCCCTCGCTTGGAGGTTTGATTTTTTTTTTTACTTTGGTAAATTCTGTTTGTCTAACTTGTATATACTTGGTCCACAGGTAAAATTTCATAATTAAATAATTAACTTAACATATACAATAATACTGATGGACGACAATATGCGTAGTGAGGGAAGGTACACATTGTCGCCGGCGACAATATGAACAGGACAACAAAATGTACTGTCACAATCATGAAATAGCATATGAGACATGTTAGTGTGATTCTCACACCAATTACATTCATAAAACTACCAAAAAACAACAAAAGACATCTTTAAACAGCAATATCTGTGTGGCGACAATATGTACAATGAGGGTGAGGCACATAATGTCGCCAGCGACAGTATGTACATATGTAACTTTTCAGTCGGCGACAATATGTACCGATGGACGACAATATGTGCAGTGTTGGTAGGTACATATTGTCGCCGACGACAATATGTACAAAACAACAATATGTACCGTCACAGACCATTTGCCTGACAGTCTGTAATCATTGTGTACAAGCTAATATTTAGAAGTAGATGACAAAATCATATTGATTCTCAGTTTTAAATGGGAAACGTCAAATGGTTTTCTGTTATTCATACCAAGTGTTCATGACTTGAGAACCATTTGCTTTATTGTCATCAAAACTTTGTACAAAGGTTGCCCATGATAAACAGATGAGTTTTAATTTTTAGGTCAAATGATCAAAGGTCAACTTTTATCTATGATACCAGTATAAAATATTATTCAACAAATATCTTGAAAATCCCGTTTTTGATAATTATCAAAATTTTCTGTGATTAATTAGATTTCTACAATGGTTTTCTGTTCGAAAGGTCTAAGGTTACTTTTTTAGCAATGTGTACATCAAATGTGGTTCCTTTTCTTGTAGGTCAGATTGACCCTGAGAAGATCATTGAGTATCCAGGATTTACAGTCGATCCTCCGGAAGGTGTTAAAGATGTAAGCTTTTCTGATCCAAGATTGAAAATCACAGGAGTTGTGGGACATACTGTAAATGTGTATATTTTCATGTGTTGCTAATTATGCAAATTAGTAGAAAAAACATTACGCGAGGGGGATATTGCAGTGAAACCAGGATTATGTATTGTTAAACCTGAATAAAAAAAATTATAGTGGCATTGGTACACAAGGAAATATTTATGCAAAAAGGTTTCTTTTTGCATATTTAGCATTAATTAACCCCCCCCCCCCCCCCCAACAAATTTCCATGTTTACAGTATTGCATATTGATTTAGATCATATTTGAAGGGAGGATGTATAGAAATCACTATGTTCATCTGTCTGTCTGTTTAGCTTCCCATGTGTTTTTATTGCTTTTTGTCCAAGTCATAGCATGTTAATAAAGAAACATTAGAAAAACATTATGTCTGACCAGCTTTGTGACTTGACCCTGCACTTCATCATTGAACAAGATAGAAATCACATGCCACTAAGTAATTTTTTTGTTTAGGTAAAGCTCTGTAACAGAGGAATAGAAGAAGCTCATACTTGGCACACTTCAGTTGTTTTTGTCCGTTGTGTATGTCATGGTCCTCAGCCAAGGTCATTTAGTCAAGGTCACAGGATTCTGAAGCATTTGAAATTTTATCTAGATTATAGCAACTAGTATTTTGTGGAAATTGTCTTTACTCAGTGGTTGTTTATGATAAGAGGCTTTGTCATTTATGTGCACTAAATACACTTGAGTAATAGCTCATTGTTTACGGAAAAATATTGTATTGTAGAACATTTTTAGTACAGCTGGTTGGGACCAGAAGAACTTATTCAAAGCATGTCATTTGTCTGTCTGTTAACAATATTTTAGGAATATCAATGAATGGTTGTCATGGTTAAAATGAATTATATGTCAGTTATTGAATGGTAAGGTATTTACATGTATGTCATCCTTCCAGCTGTCTATTTGCCCAAAAACAATTTTCAAAATGCTAATCCTCCTACAGTTTCGGTCCAATTTCAATTAAATTTAGCACATAAACAGATTGTCCTAATATATATATATATATATATATATATATATATATATATATATATATATATATATATATATATATATATATTAATATATATTGAATGTGTTTGTAGGAATATGAAAAGTATGGATATATTCCAATGCAGCATTGCCAGCTTGTTACAACACTGAAAAAGGATTTACAAGAACTGGTATGTATTAATGCCTTTCACTAGATTAAAACAGCTTATGGTCATGGTACAGTCCTGCTATCTGTCTGTCTATCGACAATGCTCAAAATGCTACTTCTCTCATAGTGTAGATCTAATTTTTGTAACACTAAGCTCACAAATACAAAGTAAGGAATTCTCTATATTGGTTTTTAATTCTCTTGCCATCATTTGTGCCATGGTAGCTAAAAATAAGTTAATCTGCAATTTTCTTTCAAAATGTTACTCTTCCTACAAATTGGGTCTGCTATCAAGATACAGTGTACATATTTATACCGTATTTGGCTGAATATAATACGCACTTTTTTCCCAAAATAATTTTCTGTGAGAAAGGGGTGCGTATTTTACACCACAATGGGATTTTGGTAGGTTTTTCTTTCCTGTGAAACACGGCTATCATACGCACATACCGCAGTATTACCTAGAGACTTAGGCAATTTCTTGCTGTTTATCGCCGCATTTTAAACTTCGGAAAGTTATTGTTGGAATGTAGGCTTGTTTAAAATGTTATATTTATAACCTTTTGATAGTTAAATTAAATTTAAAAGCAACTTAAAATTAATCTGAGCTGCATGTTCATCATCTCCGTGTAGGCCGCCATTAACGATGTTATTTATAGATGTTCACACATTCCTTTGCCGCGTGCTTCCGTAATCATACTACACACTGTCACATGTACCTAATCAGTCAGACACTCGGTCAAAAAAGTAATACGTCATTTTTTTCAATGAAATACAATAAAATAAAATTTATTTTAGGTTTTAAATAACTAAGTGAAAATTCATTTCAACATAAACACCCCTCTATACGTCCCAATGAATGGAAGCCAATGTTGTGAACACATGCGCTTGACACTTGATAATTACCCCTCAACACCCCTCCAGGCAATTAAATTGTTTACCGACTCCAAAGCATTGTTTTTACAGTTAGAGCACTGATTATTTACTGCCCTTATTAATGGCTTTGATTATTTTCTTTGTTAAAAATCGGGGGTTGGTTTATGATCTTTCATATGTAAAAGCGTGTGTTGATTACGACACATTAAACAGTTAAACGCTTGTTAAATTTAAATTTACTTTATCTTTTATCGGCCTCGTGTTAAAGTGATTGAGAGTTAAAAAAGGAAATATGAAGTATGTTGAAACTTAAGTGTTATCATTTGCTCGTGCTCTGTAGAAAATAAGATATCTACGAAGATTACCTCGATGTATGAAGACATATATCCCACCTTTGTACATCATTTTTCACAGCTTGGAGGTGTGTTAACTACACTTTACACGCTTGTTAAATTTTGATTTTATTTTTATTATAACATCAGCTATTTATTTAATTAATTAATTTCAAGTTCAAAAGAGGAAAATCGTAGTCTATGAATACTTTGATGTTGCAATATCGCTTGCCCTGTTAAATATACATAATTTTCAACATGATTACCTTAAACTAAAAATAAATATGACAACTGTTAAACTTGCAACAATATCTAGTGATTTGTTGAAATAAATTATTTCCAAAAAGAATAGTTAGAATACGGCGACGTATAATTTCAATATCACCTTATGCTAAAAAAAATTAATAATAAACTCTGTTTATACTTTAATGCAACATTATCTCATGCTTTGTTAAAATAAGTCATTTCCTCCAGATTGCCGCTATGTGGAAAGTCAAGATTAAGAAATAAAAACGCATTTGAATAAAATGATGTGTTCTGTAAATTTTCGGCACTTTATCTCCGCGCCGATTGTCATAGCAAACTACCGCGATTTTCAAAAGTTCAGAACACCGCTTGGTAAAATTTTCTGCTGTGTATAATACATCCGAACTGCGTTTTTTCCCCCAGTTTCAGGCTCAAAAAGGGGGGTGCGTATTTTACACCAATGCGTATTATATTCAGCCAAATACGGTACTTTAAATATCAGGTTTTGATGTATTCTGATGCCATTGTTACTAGAAAAAGAAAGAGCTATCAATTTCTTTCAAAAAAGTAGAATACATCAGGATATATTTCTGTAAATATTACATGGTAATCTCAACATTAAAAGAAGGTATTTTTTTCTCCTCATCTCTAGAAAGATATTGTGCTGTCTGTCAATCTGTTGATGAACAATTCAGTTTCTAAAGACTTGATATTTGTCTTTAAAAAAGAGCTACAGAAGTTTGATTTTCTTGGGTCCAATATTGACAGACTTGTGGCTCAATATTGACAGACTTGTGGCTCAGTATTGACAGACTTGTGGCTCAATATTGACAGACTTGTGGTCCAATATTGACAGACTTGTGGTCCAATATTGACAGACTTGTCGTTCAATATTGACAGACTTGTGGCTCAGTATTGACAGACTTGTGGCTCAATATTGACAGACTTGTGGTCCAATATTGACAGACTTGTGGTTCAATATTGACAGACTTGTTGCTCATTATTGACAGACTTGTGGTTCAATATTGACAGACTTGTGGCTCAATATTGACAGATAGACTTGTGGCTCATTGATGCTAATTTTCTTGACTTTTTAGCTCACCGGAGCCCAAATCTCTAATGAGCTTTTCTGATCAAAATTTTTTCTGTCGTCAGTTTGTTGTCATTGGCATTGTTGTCATTTCACATTTTCATCTCATTCTCCAGAACCACTGGACCAATTTCAGTAAAGATCAACAAAAAGTATTTTGGGGTATTTAAATGAAGAGGGATAATCAAGAACTAACAAAAATAGGGTGGAGTCATTGAAAGAACCGCGAGGATAGAAAAAAAAAACTTGCATGCAAGCTTCCTGACAAAGTGTAGATTCTATTTTGTTCAAAGCATGGCCCCCAGGGGTAGGATGGGGTCACAATAGGGGAATCAAAGGTTAACAAGGGGATATATAGAAATTGTTTGTTTGCATTATATAGGAAATTAAAAATCTTCAAGAGAGGTGGTGCCACACTAAATCACAATAATATGCAACATTTTGAACTTGTGTGGATTTATTTTTTGCTCACCTGAGCTGAAAGCTCAAGTAAGCTTTTCTGATCACTTGTTGTTCGAAGTCTGTTCATCTATCTAGTTGTCTGTCCATCCATCTGTAAACTTTTCACATTTTGAACTCTCTTTGAGAACCACTGGGCCAATTTTAATTAAGTTGGCACAAAGCATCATTTGGTATTGAGGATTCTAAAATTGTTCAAATGTAGAGCCAAGCCCCCTTTCAAAGGGAGTTGATAAAAAAAAAAATTAGCAAAAATAGATTGGGTACATAAAAAAAAACAAACTTCTTTTCAAGAACCACTAGGCCAGAAAAGGTGAAATTTATTTGAAAGCTTCCAGTTCCTAAGGTAATGTTGATTCTAAATTTGATGTTGTCAGGATTCAAGTTCTGTGAAGTCGTATCCGCTTGGCACCATAGAAGTAATTTTAGTGATTTTGTGGTGCACAGAAAGATAATGATTACTCTAATACGGAATGAATCGTTAGCAATATTTAATATTAGTGATCTCAACACCCTCGCTAAAAATGCCAAACTTGAATCCTCGCAAAAATTTCTGCTTATACAGTAACTCATTATCAGTTCAGCGGACCAATAATTTACTTCAAAATAAGCAATAATTCAGTATAAGTGATTTCAATTTCTCTGATATTTTATTGCAAAGATAATGAGAAACTGAGGCTGTAAATTTAGTTTATTTCAAAATAAGTTATATTTCAATATAAGCTATTTCAATATAAGTGTAGTAGGCTATAGTTGTTTACTACTTTCACTTTACCGATACTTACTAGATTGCAGTGTGTGCAGTCACTATTAGAATGGTTCTATCTTACTCTGTGAGGTCTGGGTTCATCTAACTTTGTTAGGTAATGCCCCTTGCAATAAGAGAGTATCATAATCCAAATGTGGTTAAATTGATCTCCAAACAAAGAAATTTTTGTAGATAAGTCACAATTATAACTTTTTGTAGGAAATGCAGACATGTACAGTTTACATGTATATCAGTGATCCTTTGCAGTGTACTTGATTTTCTGAGTTGAAAGTGCAAAAGAGGATTTTATTTCCATTTCTTCTAAACTAGGCGGAGAGCAGGAAAAGGAAATTTGAGGATGGCATAGAATCAGAGAGAAGGCGACAGAAACTGAAGTCAGAGGAATGTGATGATATGGATATTGAGGATGAAGGTAAAATTTATCACTGAAAATATACATACAAGAGGATTATGATTATGTTCTCCAAATGTAGTGTAGGAACATATTGTTTTTACTCTGATTCTTATTTTTGAGGTCTTCTGTCTGCAGCAGAAAACCTTAAAATGTTTAACAGTTCTTATTAATAAGGTCTGTCTCAAGTGGAACTGTAGTGATTGTATCATTTCTTACTGAGGTTTCTTCAGTTTCTTTTTTGTTAATTTTTATTTTATTTTTTGCCCATTTGAAATTGCAATATCTCGGACACAACTTTTCAACAAAGCTTGCTGTGAGTAATAGTGAATCCAGTTGTATCATAGGTGTAGTGATGTTCCTTTGATTTCACGTCCATGATAAACCCACTAAGGATAAACCTTTAGCTTCCAGTATGTTAAGAAGTTATGGCATAGATAACCTATGCCCATTTTCTCAAAAACTCGGCAAAAGAATAAAATACAGGTACATATACACGAAAGAGAAACATTTTAGTGAAACATTTTGAATGAGAAAACCATTGGAGCTGTCCTGTGTTTTACTACTATGTATTCTTGTTTTAAAAGCAAAGAACATGGTGGGGATAAGTTAGTAAAAAATTCCATGATTGAAAAAAATTGAACTCAAAACCATTAGGAATTTTCTTTGTATGTCAAGTTAACATTACTGTGTACTTGATGTAAAATTTATGCCATATGCTAAAATTTCAATAGTATTGAATTATTCATTCATAAAATAGGATGTACACAACAAATGAGCAAAACTGATTATTTCCATGTATATGTTCTAAATTTTGAGAATTCTCTTTTAAGCGGTTTGTGACAAAAATACTTAGATTTATCCAAGATTAAAATGTTTAAGATTGTATGAAGTACTATGAACACCAAAAGTGTTTGAGCATTTTTATTTTGAAACCATGAATGGCAAGCATTTGTTCTGTACTGGTTATTTTATTAGAATTGCATTTTTTCCAGGAACTCCTTCAAAGTCTGTCAATGGTCATGCCTTTGTACCCCCACTACCTTTGGATACACCTCCCACAAGACCACCCCTACCCAAAGAAACTCCACCCCCAACTCCACCAGTCCCAAGGCTGAGTCTACCAAAGGTAGCCCGAGAGATCTCCATGACAGAATCGGAAAGATCCGAGTCTCCATCACTGGAGGAGCTAGAGAGTCAGCTAAAGCTGCTGCAGGATAAGTTAGCTTCTGGTGAGGCAGATACAGATCTATTGGATAGTGTAACCAGTGATGAGGACAGTAACTCAGAGGTGGCCGAACTCCTGGCTCTAAAGGAGAAAATTCTAAAGAGGACAGATTCCATCTCTTCTATACAGACATTTGGTGAGCTGGGTTCTGGTGGATCATGTCCTGGCACACCGCAAACACCCAACATTTCACTCGGCAATGTAAACTCTCTTGTTGGTTTACGTCAAAGCAAGTCTATATCCAAGGATTATGGTACCCCTATTTTGAAGGGACCAGTTGAATCATTGCCTGATTCTTCTAAATTTGGTGTCGGTATAGAGGATCACATTCCTTATGAGAATCTACCAGATGCCACTGGAACATTTGACAAAATCAGAGACCTTATAAGTAAAGTCAGGACTATAAAAAAGAAAAAGAAAAAATAATTCTAAAAGGGTAGAGAGTGCATCAATTTGCCATCAATCACAGACTGACATCTTTGACATACTTTCATGCTTTTATGCAGTTCATATTTTGCAGCAATTCATTATGATAAAATAATACATGTATATCAAATTTTGTGGTTGCAGCAATGTAAGAAAAAGTCATTCTCTCTAGGGAGGTTTGAAGAGAACTGTTAAATATATGTTCACTGAAAAACTCAGTCTTCAGCATATAAAATTTATACATGGGACAAATGCCTCCATGCCAATTAACTCCATCTACAAAGTAACTAGTTGCAGGCATTTTATGAATTATGATTTCAATCTTTTCCCTCCATTTATTTTGAGAGAGTAGACATTAATTACTGACATTGCTTAGTAAAATAATTTTAGTTGAATAAATTTTTAAAACTTTCTTGTTTCTTTAACCTCTTGTTGTAGAGTGGCTTACATGTTAGGGGTTGTCAATAAAGTTTGTGGACAATGACGTTTTTGTTAAACTAAATGGTCCTAAATATATTTATCGTATACCCAAATATTTGTCATGAAAATCCAAGACAGAATGGTTTGGTTTTGGTTGTTTGAACTGAATATTTTTGTTAAAATCGTAGTCTTCAAAGTCATAGATAATGCACACGGCCCCAGGGTTAAAATGTCAGAAATTTAAAATTAATAAAGTTTTCGGATTAATTGATTAAAATGGTCATTTTCTTTATAAAAACAAGCCATAACTTAATAAAAATTAAATATGTCTCAAATAAAGCAGATGTCATCATTTTCTGATATCTTTAGTATTGCTTATTAAACAGCATGAATGCATCATCATGCATACATGAGTTAAAGCTAAGTATGAGCAAATCAATAGGAATGAATGATTAAAATACATCAATTTTGTTTAATATAACTTTACTACATGTATATAAATTGTATTTAGACATTTTGATCTGTTTCCCTATTTTTTTTTTCTTAAAGTTTGTGCACATTAATGATGTTTACAGCTAATATTACTTAAATGTAAATTTAAAAAAAAAAACTGATAATTTTCAGTGCTGATTACACATTTCTGCATATTTATTTCCTGCATCCAAGACTTCTATGAAATTTATACAATGCTTCTTTGTGTCTATCATGGTTTTTAGGTCACTTGAGACACTTGGTCTATTTCTATCTTTTCTCATTTATTGTCCTAAACTTTACAACATTTTCAGCTTCTTCTCCAAACTTTCTGTACCAGTTTCAGCTATTTGCATGTCACCTGAGTCACTCCCTGTATTTCGAAGATGTCTTCTTAACTTTTGGACCTTAAGCAAAAAAAAAACCCTTTGCAAGATTATAACCAATACTTTGCTCTACCAAAATGGTCAAATTTATGTCCCACTGTCCAAAGGTTCACGTGTACTCATGTGTACACTGTTTGCATGATTATATTAGATACTCAGCCCTCTGCCAAAATTGTAGAATACTTGGCCCCCACTACCCACTGTTCAAGCCCCAAGGTTGTTGGGTTAAATTTGATGACATATTGAAAATATAATACTTTAAAATATTTTTTTTCCAGCAGACAAACTGTTTACTTGATTTAAGCTCTTCACCCAATTCATGATACTCATATCTTATGGGTCAAATGATCAGTCTCCAGAGTTTGGCTAAGTTTATCAGGTTGAGGAAACTATATTCTCTGATGTCAGAATAAATTCAAATACTAAATGAGGTAAAACGTGACTTAAACACTGACCAATTGGCTCAAAGAGTTGAATTGCATTATGGGTTATACTACAAGAACACTTCTGAAATTTTATGCCAATTTTCTACTGGGTCTAGGAAGCACATTATATTTTTTCCATGCATTTCACAGATTAGGTACAATGTGTACATTATTATCTAATATTTCCATGCTCATATTCCCAAATGATTTATAGACGTAAAATTCTAGCTTTCTCCATTCTCTCATTTAAGGCTACTTTTGGACAATTTTCTGTATTCCCGTTTTTGTAGTATCGGTGAATACAAATTTACATGGATTCCCTGGACCAAAATTACAGTCACTGATTATAAGATGTCCACATGTATTATCATGTGTTGGCCATTACAAGTTTTAAATGCTAGTCTGTGATGGGATTTCAATCTCTTTTTTTTTTTCGTGTGAACACGGAACATCTTTTTTAGTAACTGATCTTTGTATTTTTAGCTCACCTGAGCTGAAGGCTCAAGTGAGCTTTTCTGATCAAAATTTGTTCGTTGTTTGTTGTTGGCGTTGTCGTTGTAAATTTTTCACATTTTCATCTTCTTCTCCAGAACTACTGAGCCAATTTCAACCAAACTTGGCACAGAGTATCCTTGGGTGAAGGGGATTCAAATTTGTTCAAATGAAAGGCCACGCCCTCTTTCAAGGGGAGATAATTACGAATCATTGTCAGGTAGTGTAGATTCAATTTTGTTCAAATCATGACCCCGGGGGGGGGGGGGGGGGCACAGTGGACGATCAAAGTTTAACATAGGAATATATAGGAAAAATCTTTAAAAATCTTCTTTTAAGAACAGCAAAGCTATGATTGGTCATATTTATATGGAAGCATCCTCAGGTGGTGTAGAATCAAGTTTGTTCAAATCATTACCCCCGGGGGTAGGGTGGGGCCACAATGGACGATAGAAGTTTAACACAGGAGTATATGTATAGGAAAAATCTTCTTCTCAAGAACAGCAAAGCCATGATTGGTCATATTTATAAGGAAACATTTGCAGGAGGTGTAGATTCAAGTTTGTTCAAATCAGACCCCCAAGGTAGAGTGGGCCACTATGGAGGATCAAAGTTTGACAAAGGGGTATATAGGAAAAATCTTTAAAATTCTTCTTCCCAGAACAGCAAAGCCATGATTGGTCGTATTTATGTGAAAGCATCCTCAGGTGGTGTAGAATCAAGTTTGTTCAAATCATGACCCACGGGGGTAGGGTGGGGCCACGATTGATGATCAAAGTTTTACATAGGAATACATACTAGGAAAAATCTTTAAAAATCTTCTTCTCAAGAACAGCAAAGCAATGATTGGTCATATTTATATGGAAGCATCCTCAGGTGGTGTAGAATCAAGTTTGTTCAAATCATGACCCCCGGGGGTAGGATGGGGCCACAACGGACTATCAAAGTTTAACACTTCAGTATATAGGAAAAATCTTAAAAATTCTTCTTGTCAAGAACAACGAAGTCATGATTGTTCATATTTATATGGAAGCCTCTGCAGGAGGTGTAGATTCATGTTTGTTCAAATCATGACCCCCGGGGATAGGGTGGAGCCACAATGGACGATCAAAGTTTAACGTAGGAGTATATAGGAAAAAGCTTGGAAATACTAAACTGATTTTTGCTTTTTTCCTAGCCACAGTGCTCAGGTGAGCGATGTGACCCCTGGGCCTCTTGTTTATAAATGCAATGAAACTAAGTTTCATTTGTCTTTCCCCCATTTCAATAAATATCACCTTGTAAATTTACCCGAACCACGAGTTTGTAGTAAAATGTAAACATGTACGGTAGTAGACCATCATGCTCTAGCTGATATTCATCTATTGGATTGGTCAACTGTTCACAGTAGGCCCCGCTGTGTGTCATAGCAACAATTGCCTTATAAGAAAGAGAATCTATTATTATGTGTATCTTTGAAATTCTTTTTTTTATTCCTGAATATATAGCAAGCAAACTACATGCATGCATATTGGCAGTAAGCAATGAATGGGGCTAAGCCGTTCATTTACATGTAGTGTATATAATAAAAATTGTATTAATTTATTCTTCAAAAATCTTTAAATTACTCCAGGAGTTCTATGAGACAAGCTGAATGAATATGATAAGGATATAATAATTTGATTTAATTTAAAAGGGGGCGGGGGCGAAATATCCCAATAATTGATATATTTTTATTCTTTGAAAGTTCGACTCCATTAAGTACTACTACTTTCTGTACTTTGATTTCTACCCTTGGTTGCTAGACAGGTCTGTACATCCGTCCGACTCTCTGTTATTTTTTATACTGGGTTTTTATACAGAGAGATTTAGGGCTTTGTATTGAGCAAAAAATTTCGATACGATACAATAAGATATTTTATAATGCGATATACGATATACTAGGTTCTTTAATAAATCTATCAAAAAAGTCTTATAAACCATTTAATGCATGAATTTTATTAAAATTATTTTGTTTTACAACTCATATCAAAGTTCTTGTCTCACTGTCATTATATACTCATTACACTTCAAATTCAAACTTCTAACGACTGTAAAATCAACATGTTAAATAAAGTTGTCTATGTGTTTTGTAATAATTATCTAAGATGTGTTACCTCCTTAAAAATTATATCATTATTGATCAATTTTAATTCAAAATAGTTCAAAATAATCCTTGGTAACTGAAATTTCTAACTTTTTTACAGAATTTATATGAAAAACCGCCTGCCCGATACATATTAGAAGTATACGTATCGATATATTGATACAGCCCTAGAGAGATTAAATTTTATATTGCAAGGTGAGACCTAGAGTTATGAAAACTAGTCAGTTGATGCATTTATTATTTGGGGGGGGGGGGGGGGGTAACGGCTGGGTTTCTTATTGGAGAGCTTTATTTCATCATATATATGGAGATAACGAACAGTATCCAAGCTCAAAAGTCCATTAAACATTACAAAATAGGTGCAGAGCAAACACGGACCTCCAAAACATCAGAGGTGAGATCAGGTGCCATGGAGGAGTGAGCATCCCCTGCCGACCGGTTACACCCGCCGTGTGCTCCTTGTCATGATCGGGAAATAACGGAAAAATCCGTCGACAATTCAGTGTGTAAATAATGGCCTAACAATTAGTATGAAAAACATCAGTCAGCATTTGACTCAATGATAAATTGTATTTGCTGACAAGGTCATTGTATCGACCATAGAACTTACGAAATGATGACTTTAAACGAGACTGCTGATATTCTTGTTTCAACAACTTGTTTGTCAATAGTTTACCTCGTTTTAGAAATTGTACGTACGTAGAGCATGCTCTTGCGTATCGAATCAACTGAGAGATATAAACCCCGTATGCAGGTGCTGAAGGTATATTGCTGCATAAGTAAGGGAAGTTGACGATTGAAAAGTTAAAGTCATCACGTTTATCATATAGCTTGGTTGTTATATTACCATTTACATCTTTTTTAAGTAAAATATCCAAATATGAAACAGATGTGTCAGACTCTGTAGTATCTTTTATCTCAAGCTCACCGGGATATATCGTATCGACATAAGAATGGAAATAACATGTTAATTGACAATACGTCGTCGATATATCTAAATGTCGAGTTGAAGGCCACAGCAAGTGTTTTCTTCTTTTCACGTATAAGATTTTGGACAAATTCTGCTTCATATGAATACAAAAAAAGGTCTGCTAATAACGGGGCGCAATTGGTACCCATGGGAATTCCAATAGATTGTTGGAAGACCTGGTCTCCAAAAACCACATAAATATTGTCAATCAGAAACTCAAGCATCTTTTTAATGTCAACTTCAGAGTACTTGTGTGTACAATCAGAATGTTTTTCAACAAAATAATTTTGCAAATGACCAATGACAAGGTAAGTAAATTTACGAGTTCCATTGTTATTGAAAAAGCAGCTGTCAATGATATCAAAAAGTCTGGATTTTAATTTATCGTGGGGAATGGCATCGTCTCAAGCCACGGTCCGGAGTCCGCACATAGCTCTCTCCAGAATGGGAGAGGATCGTGCATTTTGGCCGTGGTTTGCGACAATGGAGGAATGGTTGTGTATAAAGTTGAAAAGTCGGAAGTTTTTAAGCTCTTGATTTTGGTAAAATCTTGTGATTTCAAATTTCCAAAAGTTCTTTGGAATTTTTAAGTATCATATATTGTTGCACAGTACTCTTGAAGTTTCCCCTTCACTACTGTTAATATCT